TTTCGCCGCCCTGGCTATGCTGGGCTAGCGATTGTGTGGTCCAACAGCTGGACAAAGATCTGCAGGGAAGTTGTTGAGGATCTCCCATGCAGTGCCGATAGACAGCCGGTCTACAAGCTCCATGTCATCATATTGCCAATTCCCAGTGATGCGACTGCAGATCGGCAACAATGACAAACTACAGCCCTTGAAGGGCCGCGTCTTACGCACTGCAGGATTAATCAACATAATGAGGAGCATGGTAGGAGCCAAAGCACATGCACACCCTGTACTCAAGTTCTCAGACCCTCAGATGCCAAACCGTGTGCGGATACGGCTCAAATCATGTGTCAAGGCTAGATCAAGGTCGTCTGTTGCAGCAGTGCCGAAACACTACCAGATCACTACCTCAAGCGCAAACCAGAACCTTGGGGTCACCACATGCCGTCGACCCCTCCAGGTGCTCACAACACGCCCCACATCACTACGACAACAGCAGACGGCAACGCTGGAGAAGCTCACTTTGACGTTCAGGCTGCTTTCAGGCAACACAACATGACAACCTTTTGACGACACCCAGCCTTCATGAGCTGCGCATGCTCCGTCATGAGCTGGTCCAGCTGAGCCTGCTTGTGCGTCTGAGGCGTGTGCGCATGTGCTAATATGCATACATAAAAACTTATGTATACGTACGTATGTAAATACATGTAGTATATTTTTATGTGTATATCGAATATTACTTACTTATCTGCCAAATATGCATGCCCTGCCTGGCCTGGCCTGGCCTGCTCTGGCCTGGTCTGGCCTGCTCTGCCCTGCCCTGCCCTGCCCTGCCGTGCCGTGCCGTGCGGTGCGTGAATGCATCATACATACATACTGTACCTACCCCCCTACCTACATACATACCCAAACCTACCTACCTATCCAGACCTACTGTACCCATACCTACCCATACCTACCCACCTGTACCTACCTATCTACCGACCGACCTTCCTGCGTACATACATACCTACATAGAAGTGCTCCATCTAGAGCGAGAGAGAGAGCGAGAGAGAGGCAGAGAGAGAGAGAAAGAGAGAGAGAGAGAGAGAAGAGAGAGAGAAAGAGAGAGAGAGAGAGAGAATGTCGGATTGTATATATGTGTATGTTTTGTTTGTTATATATATGTACTCTAATATAGATGTCTGCCACATCGTGGGTGCTTCCGCAATGCCGTGACTGCTTGCTGAGTGGTGAGGGCCGAAAACATCTTAAACATGACTACAGTGCGCTAGCAAGGCCTGCTGCGCGTCTCTCCCTGTGTGCTCGGATGCCATTGCGAACGAATGTGAGAGTGTTCAGCCTGACAAACTCGACGGAGGCTACGAGGACTGCACATGATCGCGCAGGGGCGAATGTTGAGCTCCCAGGCTACTGCGTCCTGTCCCATCTGAAACCGTAGACAACCTTATCCCGAACTCGATTGTTTGCGGAGAGCTGTTGCCGTTCGCAGCTACATCGTCCTGCAACCTAGTCTGGGTCGCGGTCCTAAGTGATTTCACAGCTCCCGCGTGTCCGATAGTGGGAAATGTTCTACATCTATGTTCTCAAGATAATGGCGCTCTCATTATCCGCACGAAAAACGAGACCCCACAGATTTGCCTGGAGCTCCAATCGCTTGGTCTCCGCATCGCCTGAGAGTGCCAGGACATTGGCTGTTTGCACACTTGGCTCCTCTTTTGGTGATCCGTCTCGCATCCTCGAAACTACAAACAACAGAACCCCGAAATTTCCCGCAAAGACAGCGCAGCTCCCCCTCCGGGTGGCCGACCATCCTCGCTGGTTGCCAGGGCATTGAGGTCAATCTTCACCCGCCTTGGGGTGGTCGTTCTAGCTCAAAAGGCCGGCACGCCTGCTCCTCTTCGGCTCAACGCAGTCTCGTCTGAGGTGTGGCGCAGACCCTGTCGCGCCCCAGCGACTGTGGTTTAAGCTGCCGGCCCAATATCTTTTAGCAGGGAAATCCTTGGTCGAAAGACTCGGGGTTAGTCATCACGTGAACGGTTGGGTTGCGATTAGGTGACAGCTCCATGCACAGATGCTCGAATTCGGCGAAGAATTGGCATCAAAGAAGTCCGAAGTCTACTCGTGCATGGAGGGGTCTGAAGCAAAGGTTTGGTTTTGTTGTGAAATTTCCACCAGCAGCATCTGATACACTGTACTCCTGGTGCCCTGACGGTGCCGTCAAGTCGAGAGTGGGTCGTAGGAAGGGATGATGCAGCGTCTGGGGATCCAAACAGCTGCTGCGACATGGCTGCCGGCGGGGAGTTTCTTCTTACTTGACCTGAATAGTGTTCGATTGTTGTGAGAGTGGCCCCGTCCTCGGGGGCCAGGGGACTGAGCAATTAGCTCGACCTCTTTTGTTACAACCAGTGGGCTAGGCCGGCGCAATGGCATAAAACTGTTCAAGCTGCAGTCTGCACCTGGAAACCCTGAACACTGATGTTGGTGTCACTCCGAGACGTCTACTGAGAGCCAGAATCAGAGCTTGCCCCCTTTGAGCCAGACTTTCAGCTAAGGCGAGACTCCACAGAACACGACACGCATGCACCAGAAGTGCTTCGGCGACTCAAGCCACAATAGTCTCCAGAAAGCAGATCCGTTACTTCTTCCGCTCTGCGCATGACACTGCTTAGCATGCGAGGGATTCAAACCTATAGCTACGGGCGAAGAAAAGGCCGCCTATCATTCGCGATGGGCTCAGGGGCCGCTTGTCCTATTACTACAAACACTTTTAAACTCTTTTCAGCTTGTAAACACCAGGCCCACACCCGATATGATACACAGACAGCCATGGTCTCAGCACGACCTGGTAAGAGCCTGAAAGAGGCAGACTGAGTGCAGATTTGACGGAATGCTTCGGGTCACACGCCCGTTAGAAAATGCCTTCCTTCAAACCCTGCCCTGAAACCTAGTCACCTGGTCTTAACCTTGTCAACTTCAAAGGCTGCATGTCAAGCAATGGACCCTGACCTCAAGGCTTGCGGACGGGGTCAAACTCAGCTCATTTGCAGCTGAGACAAGACCGTCTGACAGCTGGGGTGCCGCAACAGTGCTGGTGACGCAGCTGCAGCTGTGAGAGTGTGCATTGCAAAGTCATGGATGTTTCAGCCAGCAGTCTCCCGGCCTCAGGCTATGCTCTGGCCGGTCAGAACCAGTTTCATGGTGACCGAAAGTGCCGGACTTCGCAACTGCAAGAACGAATAGCAAACAAGAACATAACTCATGACCAAAGATTAACCCTGCTTTGGCAGCTGCGGATGAGAAGGAGGAGGAGTAGCAGTGGCAGCAGGAGAACGAGCAGGAGCAGTGGCAGCAGCAGTACCAGCAGCAGCAGCAGTATTATGAGTAGCAGTCGCGGTCGCGGTCGCGGTGGCGGTCGCGGTCGCAGTCTCAGCAGCAGCAGCAGCAGCAGCAGCGGTAGCAGTAGCAGTAGCAGTAGCAGTAGCAGAAGCGGTAGCAGAAGCGGTAGCAGTAGCAGTACTAGTACTAGTACTAGTACTAGTACTAGTACTAGTACTAGTACTACTACTACTACTAGTACTAGTACTAGTACTAGTACTAGTACTAGTACTAGTACTAGTACTAGTACTAGTACTAGTACTACTACTACTGCTACTACTACTACTACTACTACTACTACTACTACTACTACTACTACTACTGCCACTGCTACTGCCACTGCTACTGCTACTACTACTACTACTCCTCCTTCTCCTACTACTAGTACCATGAGTACTACTAACATCACTACTACTAGTAGCACTAGCTAGCAGTACTGCTCACGCTCGAAGTTGCATGTTGCAGCAAAGCTGAACTCCGGCACCTCGTGCATAGGTTTCGGGAAGTGGCTCTCGTGTGAAAGGCCCAGCGGCCCTTTGAACTAAATCAACAGGATGGCAGAGCCATAACAATGACCCTGTACTGGTGGAGACACGGCTGGCAGGCTCTGATGCAATGGTCGCTATGCCAAACCAGGAGACCTGAACCGAAGTAGCACAGGGTTTTGACAAGCACGGCCGGAGGGACCGCCACTGGAAGGGGGGCAAGCCGTCGTCAATAATTTATGATATTGTATATGTATGCATATACGCATATTATATATACACATGCATGTGTACAGATTTACATGCATGAGATGTATGTATGTATGCATGCATGTATGCGCTGCTTCGCCGCCATGCTGTCAGTGCTTGTGACATCCCTACTTCCTGCTTCCTTTTGATTTTGTAAGCAATACCTGCATCGTATTACTTTCTTGTTCTCTGAACTTCCTTGTTATGTTCTCCACCTCCGTTCTGGTAACCTGAAACAATACATAGCATGTTCTCGTATTGCATTAATTAAGATTACACTGGGCTCTGCTCGTCATCACAGTACACACTGAATTGCAGCAAAGCTAGCTACCTTGCAGATCTCCAGACACTGCGAAGCAACTTCCGTGACCAGTGTGGGGCCGTCTGGAATTGACCGGCCAGCAGGTCAGGACAACTTAACAGTCGTTCCGACAGGTTGAAATGTGCTCGCCTGCCGACGGTGAATGTGCAAATCTCCGCTACGCGAGCGATAGCCAAAAAATCGGCAAAGCTAAAACACCGAGCATAGGAGTGCCCTATCAAATGCGATACTTCAAGAAATCGAATCTGCACATTTGCCCGACGCCCATCGTCGACATGGTGGAGGGCAAAGACACACGAAGCGAGCAATTTCATTGTCAGCTGATGGGCTCGAAGCCACGCTCAGGCAAAGGAATCCTACCTGATGACCACAGGAGAGCTTGGAGCAATGACATTTAGTCTGCAAGCTCAGGCAAGCTATGCTGCCTAACCTTTCCGTCTGAGCCTGATGCAAACTCATAATGCTCCCAAAACTCCGCACAAACAGCTCAGCTCCTTCAGCGAAAGACAGAGGCACTACAGGACCAGCCTCTGCCGTCCGAGTCCCCTTCCCGGAATAGTTGAGCCCTAAGCCGACACATCTCGGCCTCATCGCGCCGCCGGGCTGCCATCTTCCTTGCGGGCGCCTCTGCAGGCTTTAGGCTGTAATCGAGGATTGGGGCTTCAAAGAGCTTGGGACTCGGAGTGCAGGGTCTTAAACGGAACTGGGCAATATCAGTGCGCACATCAGTGCAGAAGTGCATGATTCTCAGAAAAGGGATCCAGCATTTCTGCTACAGCATTGTAGGGACCAGACGAGTCTCAACATTCACGCCCGCCTTCGAAGGTGGGGCTGTCTGGAACCAGTGCACCACATGGAAGGCTGCAGCCATTGCCACAGGCTCCACAAGGCCCACAAGGCCCGCAACCTGGGCAACTTGGCCCACAAGGACCCGAGCAAGGCATGCAGCCGCCGGTCACGCAGCCGCCGACGGGACATCCACAGCCACAGCTGCCCTCGCAGCCGCATGGCGTGCAGGGCCCACAAGGCGTGCAGGGCCCACCCATGCACACATCGCCACAACCCGGTCCGCATCCGCAGCAGCCGCCACATGGCACGCAACCACCACAGCCGGGGCAGCCTCCACAGCACCCTCCACAGCCGCAGCATCCGCCCTGCCCGACGAAGCTAACGCCGTCGCCGCTGTAGGGACCACTGAAGTTGACCGGACCTCCAAGTGGCTCAAACGGGCCAAAACATCACAAAGCAGAGCCTTAAGCGCCTTCATGGTATGATTCTGGGACCACTGCACCTGCATTCTGACGACACTTTGCCGGCTCTAGGCCTCCGTTGCAGGGCATGGCGCCGAAATCTCCGGCAGGAACCTGAGTTCGAGGTGCTCCGCGCAGTGTACAACGTGTCGATGAGCCCGAACATCATGATTCAACCTCCTGCCTGCACGGCAAGATGGGAGCTTTCTTTGAATGCACACGGCCCTGGACCCAGCTCCAACTTAAAAAAAAGCTGGAACCCTAGAACGTCCGTATGTCACTTCCCGAAACCCAATCCCGACAACGAGTCTTGCTCCCGACCACGAGTCTTGCTCCAAGCATCAAGACTGTGCATCTGCCCAGGCTACGAGCTAAGACATCGCGCAATGTATGTCACGTCGCACAGTGCAGTGCAAGACCATTCATATGCAGATGCCGTACACAGGCACGTTGCGAATTGCATCACACCGCAGACAGCAGAATCAGGGCCACAGCTTTCTTTGTGTTTATATCTATGCGTGTACACTCTATCTACATAGATATACACATATTGTTGAGATAAACGAGCATAGAGCATAGATTCCATAGATATACTGCAGTCTCTGTTCACGTTCGCAGAAACATTTGAGACAACATGGCAGACGGCATTGCGAACTGAATGCCGTTCGTGTGGTGCACGTTCTATGCTGGTGTTTAAACACTATATAGATTACATGTGCCACAGTGCAAACAACGAACCACTGTACCTTATACCTGTGCACAACAACACCTTTGTCGCAGACTTCACTACATCATCTCTTATTACATCTGAGTACATGCTTCCCCGCATATGCAATACGCATTCTACTGCACTGCTCTATGCAGAAAAACACCAGCGCACGAAGATCTGAGTGTCTCCATGCTCATATTCATGAGTATAGGTATACATCATGTACTGTTTTGTACATGTCCACACGCGCAGTTCTACGTTTGCTTGTCAAAAACCGGTTCAGAAGAGTGTCTGCAATGAGCTACGTAACGGGCATCTACTACGTAGGTGCTTGTATTGTGCATACTTCACTTATCCACCACCACTCAGGTGGTGAACCACAGTTGTGGCTTTCATGAAACATGGCTACATGATATATGGTTTAGGATTGTACGCATATGAGCAACTGAACTCTTGTATACGCAGATGTAAACGTCTGTTTTTGCACCTCTCAGTATCCGCATCCTGGGTATGTGTGTGTGTGTGTGCTTGGTTACTTGCCACTTCAAAACGTCAGAGATAGACTGGATCGCACGTTGTACAGCATGAGCACCTGAGACATGCAAATATGTGCAGTTCTACATGTACATATACACAGGTACAGATGCAAATCATTCTACCTACAATGGGCGCATCTGCACACCATCTACATATTATGTGTGTGTATATATATATATATATGTATTTATGAATATACACAGGTGTGGATAAATTAAGATAGGCTGTCCCGAAGATAAGCAGACCGACGGCTAGACACATGGATACATAGACAGATTGATAGACAGACAGACAGACGGACAGACAGACAGACAGGCACGGACAGACGGTCAGAGAAATAGGTAGATAGACAGATCAGGTAAAATAGATAGATTAAGCAGATTAGGAAGATTAGACTGGATGAGGTGAGACTACATTAAATTAGGTTGAGAGATAGATAGATACACAGGCAGACAGACAGATGGATAGGTCCACCGATAGATGGGCAGGTCAGCAAAGACATGTACAAAGAGACCTAGTCACCGGTCCTAGGTCGCAGTTGTGGTTGACATAGTGACACAGTACCAGCAGAAGCCACCAAAACAAAAAGACACGACGGTTATTACAGAATGGTTCTTGGTGTCGCTGTCTCTGTCCTGTTTCTGACCATCGCTGCATCACTAGGATACCCAAGCGCTGTAGGCCCCTTACCGCCATGACGACCATTTCGCCGCTTTGCGCAGCCTGTACTTCAACAGGTGAACCCGAATGTGACAGGTCGGGGCGATGGATTAAGGAAGTTTTGGGCGTCCAAATCTTGAGCCTAAGCTGGCCAAGCGAGCAAAAATCCCCACCTCGCTGCCCTGCCAGAAGAGGATGCCTGGCCACAAGCGATGAGGGACTCCAACTTCGTGCTCACACGACCACCACAAACCACTTTGCGTCCTGTGCCAGAACAATCCTGCCTACTCGCAAAGACTATCATACTCTGAGGTCGAGCTCGCTCCAATGCTACGGTCGGAAGCTAGCGACCTGCTTCCTCGACCCTCCCCTCACCGAGGTCAGCGCTTCCGTTCGGAAGCTGCAGCGGAGGGTGCTGCCACCTTCAACGTGGGCTCGCTGTCATGAGCAATGCATCCTGTTCCTGGAGTCTTAAAGAAGTCAGTTGTAAACAGTTTTCCTATTCTGCCTACTGCTGAACCATCGTTCGCTGGGGCTTTAGATTATGGCAGCTCGTTCCTCTGACGTGTGAAAAACTGAAGCTTCTGCCGATGTCTACGTCCTCACTATACTTTGCATGCTCTTTGCTACTACATACTTGATCCACTGACCCTCTCCGTCCGCGGTGGCATCTGATGCTTTCACTTTGACCGCCCTTTGCTAACATTCAAACACGCTGCCCGTTCGCCAGCTGAACTGGCCCATGGATTCCGCAACATCTTGCGACACTTGCTACAGACATGGTTTGCTGCGCTTCAAGGAATTATGAGTAAGTTGCACATGACCCGAACACATCACAGGCTCCGTTGAATCGTGGTGGACATTGCTCCATCGCGAGTGACTGAAGCAACTAGCTCTTTCTTTCCCATGCTGTTCCGAGAAGTTGGATGGTGCACATTGACCCGCTTGAAGGCCCACTTGGGCAGGATCGCCACTGCTCACCGTTGCTGTTGGGCGGCCAGTCAGCCCCCGGTCCCCGGTCTTCAAGTTTGCAACTGCGCATTGACTCTCCTAGGAAGAGCATGGACTAGCCACACATAAGAAAAGAGATGAGAAGAGAAGCGAAGAGGACAGAGAGAGAGAGAGAGAGACAAAGAGAACCGCAAACACTGACAGATATTGCGCGCACACATACTTGACGCACACCTCCTGATCCGGAATGTCGCCGGTGTTGTGGCTCTGTTGCATCTTTGCTTGCACTGTACATCATTTGTAGAACCAATTCTTTTGTGCAGGAATTTGTAATGGACGCCAGGCTCAAATTACAGAAACTGGGCCAAAGGACATGACAACTGTGCATACTCACATGTCAAAGCTTGAACTGCGAATGATGGCCGTTAGACGGAGTAAATCTCCCCGAATCCACCATCTCGCAGGCACGTTTGCATTACAATCACAACATCGTCTTCGTTGGGGGGGAGACTGCGGCGATGCACTCCAGCCCCCTGCTTTGTCTATTCATGCTCTCAACTTTACTTAGCCAGGGATGGCACGCACACACACACAGAGAGAGAAATGCACGTGTACACACAAAAGACACGAACAAGGTAACGCCGCCGTCTTTGCGGCCGGCGCCATGTGTTGTTTCATAGGAGTGTTACTCTCAGGTAAAATGTCGTTTTTCAAGTTGGCAGGTTATTTGGCAGAAGCAACATCGCGTAGGCATGGAAGTTTTCGGAGATGACTTGCTGAGATTGTCAATGCCAGAGAGACGATTTCCCTTGCAAAAAGCAGCACTTTGGAACCTTGCATGCCATGATGCTCGAATGGTGCTTTCACGGCTTATTCTGGGAGAGTTATGATCACATGCATTTCAGTTTATGAGGAAAAGCAGGATAGGGACAAGAAGTTGCAGCATCAGTATCCACTACAGCAGTAATACTCTCGCGACGGTGATGAATGAAATCTCCTGATCATACTTATGGTGTGTCTTTCTTGTGGTTAGGAGAAAGAGAAAGATTCTGCTGAGGAATACGACGAATGCGTGGGTGAGAGTGATTGAGAGAAGCATTGTGATGATGAAAATCATGGTGATTGGAAGATGGAGGATAAAGAAGATGCCCCCCCCAAACCGAAACATGCAAAACATTTTGGGGTCAAAGCATATCCCGCGGGTCGTGAAGGGTGGCACAAACACAAATAAGCACACGCACTACACACACACACACACACACTCTCTTCCTCCACTCAGCCAGAAGGGTTAACTGTCGCTTACCCGCAGCGCGATATCACACACACTCTCTCTCTCCCGCAAACACACATACAAACTAGCAAACGGTCACAGGAACGAACCACAATCGGGAAAAAACAACAAACGAACGATCAAGCGAACACAGAAACAAACAAGCAAGCAAGTAGGCAAGCAAGCAAGCAAACAAACGTGAACACCAAACGGGCAAGCAGGACAAACAAGCACACAAGGAAACAGGTGCGCTGATGTCCATGTCCAAAGGCATGTGCTGCTTTGCCCGGTGTGCCTGCACGTCTCCCCTCTCGGGCAGTAGCCATTTTGGACCCACTCCCAGCAAACGTCCCACGTTTCCTGCATTCGGTGCAATGTGGAGGTGCGATAGAACGAACGGCAACAACCCTGTCCTCTGCCGCAGGCATATCAGCAACCGCCATCTCCATCTGATGCATCGGCTGCATGGAGGACCTGGGCACCGCAAAGAAAGGACCAAGCCTACTCGCAACCCTCGCTTGATCTCGGCCCCTTTGGGCCACCGCATCGGCTGGAAGGTCATGGCCTGGGGCATCTCGCGACGCAGGGGTCTGGCTCTCTGTGGTTTAGATGGCTCGCTTGAGGCTCGATCCGCCACGACACCGACTAGCGGACTAGCGACTGGCGGTGACTGCGCTCGGCTGGGACAGAATAGGAAAAGAAAACTTTTTGCATCCTTCCGCCACGGCTGAGCCCCCGAAGGATCTCTGGATCAGACTTAGCTGGGGCTCCCGGCATCACCGGCTGGTCCAGGGTCAAAGCCCTGATCGGCATGGGGCATTGCAACATCCCCCATGAAACTAACTCTGTTTTGTGGGAAAAGCATGGGAAAAGCGCTCGCAACAAACTTCCCCTCGGCCACGGTTTGGCGCACAGGAGACAGCATTCAAGCTGAAGCCCTGCTCAGACATTCACGTTCGGCGCGCAGCCACAGCCACCGCTCATCATCATCATCGACCTAAGCGGAGTGGGATCCGACCGAAGGAGGGTTAAAGGTTCGGATTCTGCTCGGGGCAAAAGAAAGCAACTGTCAGATTTCTATTCGGGCAAAAACTGAAACTATCTTGGCTGCGGAAAGAGCTGATGCGAAAGACAACACCGGACATCCTGAAAATCCAAACCCTCGAGCGGCAACAAAGTCAACCAATACCGTGGCCGGGGCTCGGCTGGCTCCGTGCCTCAAGAACTTTCAGAGGTCTGATCTAAGGATTTTCCCGGCCGTTGGTCTTCAGCTTGGTGGTCTGAGCATCCGACATCGGGTCCGCCAAAGACGGAACGTCCAAGAGACAATCGATCAAAGTAGTGGAACAAGAATGCTCAGTTGCAATTCGGTCTGAAGCGGCTGTGAACTGCTAGTTCCTGACCAATCGCTCGGCTTCAATCAATGGGATCAGTCCTTCTTGTCAGCTCTGCCAGGCTCTGCTCACGTCTAAGACCCCTGCTGGGGCTTGGCCTGTCAAGGAGTCGACTTTCGAGCTGTTCGGCCTTAGACCGACCCCTCCTAATCCCTCCAACCTCCAGAGCGGCGTTTCTCGCGGAGCTCTGAGTGGAGTCCTGGAGTTCAAACTTTTGGCACGGGGACCGCTTGAAAATCATAGGTGTTTTGAGATGCTGCACGAACAACCTGCAGTCAGTCCGACTCCAAGCGAAAATCATGCTCGTCACCAGCGTTCTTTCATAACATCATTGCAACAATCATTCCCCTCCCCTCAACAGCAACTACAGGCTCCCACCACCACCAGCATCATCATCATCGTCACTAGCGGCAAAAACAATACAGCAGCACAACCACCACCAGCGCTACTACCAAAGCCATTGTCATCACCACCACGCTCGGCACGGGAAGCCTCATCCTCCAACCCAGTCAACAAAATGGCAAGGCTCCTTCCCATCGTGACAGAAGTTCCCAGAGAGGGCGCCTGCGTGAAGAGCATCTTTGGAAAGGTTGTGTGAGCTCAGCAGCATGTGTTGATTACCCTGTTTTCGTTCTGATCCCCGAAACATGTTCAAGTGCAGCACACATAGCTGCAAAGGCCCGGCCTCCGTGGGCGGCTTCTGCATCTCCTCCGGTCGTAGCTTTGGTTTGGCATGGCGGCTCAAGACTCACATATAGATCTCCACATTGAGCATTTGGGCACTGGGGGCCATAGAGGTGTCAACGCCCGTTGCCCCCGGCCCGGCCCTCTCCTGAAGATTGTCCCAAGGCTCAGGGCTTCCAGTGTCCTTCGGGCTGACGCAAACAGTGCCGAACTGCTTCGGCTTGACGTGGCACTGGCAATACTTGACTACGTAAGGTTCCTGTCTGCTTCTACTTTCGTACGGGAACTTCTGCCGGCAGCTCCTCTGAACTGTGAAGCGACAGCTATTAGGCCGATACACGTTGACTTGCCAGTTTGGCAAGCCGCTCTTGTCGGCGATCTTAGTTTCTTAGTACAAGAAAGGCAAGAAGCTGCATTGGCGGTTGCAGCGGCAACAGATTACATATCAGCAGCGACAGCAACACCAGTGCACAGGCAGACGATGCAGAAACAGTGGAAGCAGGACTTCAACAAGCACAAGCAGCGGTCGCAGCAGCAGAAGCAGCAAGACAGCAGTTGCAATAGCAGCACCATCAGCAGTGGCAGTTGTGGCACTCACTGACAGTAGTAGGGTAGTAGCAGTAGCAATACGAAGGATGGAAGAAGCGGAAGCTGAACTGTCGTATCACTGGCAGCCATTGTTGGACGCATGCAAAGCCATAAAAGCTTTATGCTTAAGTTGGCCACTATTATCAGCAAGTCTAAGTAGAAGCTACAGCATCAGCCGACGGAAGGTAAAGCACCTGATAACTATGGTGACACTGAAAGCACGGATTTGGGGAGCGTCCGCAACGAGCACCCACACATGCGGGCTCACTCAATCCTGGCGCTCGCTGAAGGTGGCCGCGCTTTGCAGCGCCTCGAGACATGCAAGACTTTGTTGCTCTCGACCCGGCGTGATTAAAAGGACTTGAAGGTGAAGGCTGTGGCAGACGAAACAAGACTTCTCTACTTCTTCTGTTATGAATTTGGCCAAGCCATGGAAACAGGAGAGAAGCAACGGGCGAACCCTCTCGAAACCGCGCGACGGTATTGAAATGGAAGCCATGTCAACAGCATCCGCCGGCGCTTGGTTTGGTTGCTAGGCTATGCTAGGTTCCAGGATGCAGCAACGCCTGCACCATGGGCCCCGCATAAAGCAAAACAAGGACGGCAAGTATGGTCATGGTGATGTGATGATGATGATGATGATGCCAGATGCCAGGGTGCCTAGCGTGGAAATGTCAACAATCAGAGAGGCAGCAGTAGCCGTTGGCAAATGGGCTGCAGCAGTCCCAGTAGTGGTGATACTCGTCATGGGCCCTGTAGCCAGAGCAGCAGTAACAGAAGCGAATTACGCGTAGTAAGTGGAGAAGAATGGCAGCAGCACCACGATGACGATCATGGCGATGGCAACGGTGATGGCAATGAAGGTGACGGTGGTGATGATGGTGAACATGTAGGTCAATCTAGGACCCAAGGCCCTAGGAGGTACCATGGTGTTGGCCAGTAGAAAGAAGTTCATGATGCTGGAGGTACAAGCAGAAGCAGAACCACAACAGCAACCACCACAATCACAACCACAATCGCCACAACCGCAATCACCACAACCACCACAACCGCAATCACCACAACCACAACCACCACAATCGCAACCACAGCCACAACGACAGCAGCAGCAGCCACACACAACGCATACAATTGGTACCGATCCAGCTTTAGTCCTGTCACGCAGGCAGAACAGGACAAGCAACGCTCAGGCTGTCGTCTGTAAAACATGTAATGTATATACCCAGAAGGCCCGAATGCCAGAGCTTGACATGAAAGAGGCACGCAGCATGCAGCCCCGCTTGCCTTCTTGAGTTGCAGCTCTGCAAGTTTCCGCCTGGGCGATATGAAGCTCAAGCGTTCCATTTCTTCTGCTGTACGACTGCGTGACCCCTCTCCGGGACATGTCACTGTGACTGATACGCCCCTGAGTACTGCACGCAATTTCAGGACCTTTCTGCAGCTTTTCCATCTGCAAGGTGTCCAGCTCCTGGACATGCCATCCCTCACTCCTCCCCGCACCTTAACTACCTGCAGCTGCATACCTATGCCACTGTCCTCTCCGCCTTCGTGTTTCTGCTTGAGCTTCTCGACCTGCAAGGGTCTCCGACAGCGGGTCGGAGTTGCTGGGTAAGCAACAGATGGCAGGAAGAGCTTTCAGGCTTGCTTGAAAACTCCAACGACTGAGAATGTTTCTCGGTTGCGCACATTAAGAAGGAAACAACACGAGATATCCAATATTAACTATATAAGGTGACCGGAAGTATTCAGTCTTCAGCCACTCACCCAGGCATCATAGTGCGGAAGCGGCTTGGATCGGGGTTATGGTATTGACATACGACTGACAAGACCTCATTGTAAGGGAAGACACTATTCTGCAGTTTACAACTTTGGCTAGGTTCCATCACTTCGTACATAGACAAACTGGGTACTGCTAGTTCCAAACATCATTCCAGGGAAGCAAGGCTTTAAGGACATAAGGCTAAAGATGTGGTGAGCAAGCACTACTTTGCAGCTTACAAGCTGTTACGTTTCTCCACTCGGTTCACAGAAATACTTCTAGCAACGCTGCTTCCAATTACATGAGGATGAACTATGAAAAGCAATCGAGGAGTGACACGGTGTGTTTTCGAGCAATTTCAAGCAGCGTCGCCAAGGAACAGCCATGATACATGGTAGTTTTTTGCTGGCATCAGCAAGGTTGCAAGCATGAGCACGGTATGAACATTCTCCCGCACGGGTTTTCCAACCGCACATGCCTTTATATGATATATATATATATATATACATACATACACATACCGAATACCCAAAACGAAAAAAGCAAGATCTAGACCGAGAGAATAACTTCCCTAGGTGTGTGCAAGAACACGAACAGAAATGTCGCAGGGCACTGGAATAGCAGGGTCGACAGAACATGCGATGTCAAACTCATTATAGGGACAAGCAGTATTCTGCATCTCACAGACTGGCTACGCCATCACGACTCGGACAAGCCAGATGAGGTCCCATGGCTTGCAGTCGGCTCTCTATGAGATGGTTCCGGTATGCTGATACAGGAAGCAAACATTTCATCACTCAGTATTCAGAACATTGTCAAGAGCATGGGACCTGTATTGTCTTAAGAAACGACAGTTATGTTGTCCCCCGGGAGAAACAATAGGCACCGTTCGCTAAACGTGTAATGCAATCGTTATAAGAATTCAGAAGGAATATCGAAGAATTAAGAAATGCGGCACCTAAATGCTGGAATGAACTGGATATTCGAGTGTCGAAATGTAACCGCACACGGGCACAAACATATGTTGAGGAGAGCTGTGGGTAGCCAACGCCCCGCAGCAATTAGTAAAACTGAGGTTCTAACGTGATTGCGTCTTTACAGTACAAATACGGAAACCTCGTTGTTCGAGAAATTCAGTTCACTTAGGGAATGGATGATAAAGACATATATAAGGACTAAAGGCGCGTTGGCTAGTAAATTGGATATACAAGGGTTTCGAATGCAATGTACTACAGTTTAACACAGCACAAAGCAATGCAATGCAACACAACAAACTACATCACAAAAACTGCATTTCATTCATTCCATACATTACATACATTACATACCATACATACATACATGCATGCATGCATACACACATACATAGCCTACTTACCTACCTATAAATGCACACACATGCAGGCATAGACGTATACATACACATATACAACATGCATATACATGCATGCATGCATGCATCCATCCATCCATCCATCCATCCATCCATCGCTGCATATGTAGAAACATCACGTGTGATACATACAGATGTACATACATACGTTCATCAATACCTTACAAACATACCTACATGCATACATGCATACATGCATCCATGCATCCGTGCATCCATACATGCACGCATGCATACATACGCACATACATACGTACGTGCCTGCGTGCATACATGCATACGCTACTACATACATACGGCATCTCGAGTGCCTTGGCGTCACCCCGCCGGTTTCCATTTCGGAGGTCGCTGGGCCGTGGTGGGATTTGGAAGGGGTCACACGCCTCGCGGCTCTTCTTCTCCATGCGCATCAACTCCTTCTCAAGCGGCCTCGGCAGTGACTTACCGAAAAAAGCAACACACATAATATACTAAATCTAGTTGTCATCAAAACTACACACACACACATCCGTGCACGCACACGCACCCGACCCCCCAGACCAGAGGTTGACCATCCGTCCACGGCTTTGGGCTCCGGCGACAAGGTTGAAGCATGCTGCGACACCTTCTCTTTCTCCTCCTTTCGGAATAGACGCTGATGACTTTGAGATATGGCTTCAGGCCATGAAGCTCAGCATTTCAAGACAAACACCAAAAAATGCTCGGGGATTTAGAAGCCGGAGATCCGACCCTTAAGTCACCCTTCAGCCGCTGTCCTGCACAGGCTCGTCGGGGCCTCACCGGAGCTATCGGGGTGGAGCGGAACCCTTTGCTACGGAACACATGGTAAGGGTCGAAAATAGAGGTACTACCGTGATTGTTGGAATTCATCCCTAAGAAGGTACATTACAAAAGAGCTTAGCAATGCCGCTGCCTTCCACAGAACCCTGCTACGCCCCCGGCCTTTCGCATCTTCCGCGATCGGCCTCGGGGGCATGAACCGGTGCTTGGAAAACACAGACATGACCTGGTGCCCGATAACAGATAACGACAAATACCCGCGAGATGACGACGTTGCTGTGACTGTTCGGAGGATTTTGTCAGCTTCAAACCCACACCAAACGTGACTAAAACAAAAACAGCGCCAAGGTTTCGACAGGCTGCTGCACTTTCTACAAGCTAATAGCTTGATGCATGCTGTGACTTCCTGCATGGGCTTTCAGACATAGTCGCGCACGTAGATGCGAGCGTGCGGCAAAACTGACGACTACTTCTGCGGCTTAGCAACATAGGTTATCGTTTTTGGCATTCAACGTTATCGCTGACCAGTCAGACTGAACTGCCTGCTTTGTGACAGTGCATTTCACAACAAAAGATTCTTTAACGTTCCGGGAATGGGGCGGAGGCTTCGCTTGGCAGTCTGCTACAAACCCCAAGTTGCAGGTTTGGACCGCATTTCAGAGGTCTGAGAAAGGATTTTGTAGGTTGGGCTGCTTTGAAGACGCACGCTGTAAGCCGCTTTCCAACAAAGCTACTCTGCAGAAAGGCTTCAAACCCGGGATCTCTGTCGGCGGCATTTTGGGGGCAATGGACCGCCAAGCCTACTTTTTGTCGTTTTCGACGCAATGTGGTCGTCTGACCCCTTTGCTACGCTAGCCGCTAGCCCTCCCATGAAATCAAACGCCTGCAAAGCGTTCTTTGGACTTCCCAAGCTCAGGATGAAAGTGAAAATGCTGGAAACAAGGGCTGAAGTAGGCGCGTGTATTCGATGTATTTTGCCACTGGAAAGCAGCAAGCGATAGCCTCATCGTTTTTCGTATTTCGCGTTGTCGCGGCCCATAGAAACCCAATATCGTCCCTTTAGCATACACGTTACCGCGGCCCACAGACGCGGAGCTCTCACCTGCAACGATCTCCTGCTTATCCCCCCACAGACAGTCTAGCTCTTCAGAGAGAAACGCCTGTCGCTGCCGTGATTGGTCTTCCGGGGTCCAACTCGCCTGCCTTGTACCGAGACCTGATCAACCGTACCCGTTGCGAACATAATTTGCCCGTGCTGAAGCCAAGCGCCGTGCGCAGGGGTCTCCTTCAGCATCGCGGGCGCCTCGTCAGAGCCGAGGATGGGATGCTGACGGGTTCGCATGCTTTAGCACCGAAGCGCTGACAGCCTACCAGTGCAACACGGCTCTTCCCTGCGATCTCTTCAACCGGTAAGCACCGTGTGAGCAGAACCTATCAGACCGCAGAGCCCAAGAGCCTCTGGCGCCGGCGTTGCTGGCTCGGCCGCTTTTGCTGTAGCTGCTGCTTCGGCTGCTGCTTCTGCTGGTGCTTCGGCTGGCGGTGTTGCCGGTGCTGCTGGTGCTGCTGCTCTGCCCAAACTATCGGCAGCACTGTCACCTGAGTTTGATCACGGCAGCGCTGTGATGCGCTGTGAGAATGCAGCTGGAGGTACCTAGGTTTGAACTGCGTCGTAATGCATTGATCATGTGGTGTTCCGGAGTGCTACATGGCCGTAAGGAACACAGATATTCCAAAGACTTAATCTAAAGAACTGGCCCAGAAATCAATGAGGGGTGTATGACGGGTCGCCTGACCTCTGAATTAGTTCAGTTGTGCAGCCACTCCCCACTGTTTATGGCTGGTCGCTTGTGGCCCATACGCATTGCTCATGCGTCGAAAACGTATAGTCACTTCTCTACTAGAACAACTGCATGTTTCCGGATCTCGATTGCTCACATCGATAGTCCAAGGCGAGAAACGAACACCGCACGACTCGCTGGGTCATGTCGCACTCCTAACCTCTATTTAAGGCACAGTGGGAAGATGGCTTCTGTTTTCAGTCAAAACTGCAAGGATGCTTCTGCTCTAATGCCAAGAGAATCCGGCGAGCACAGCCCGAGCCAAAGATATCCCAAGCTCAGCTGCGGGCTGCCGCTCCGGGACGTCCGCGCCTGCACAGCTCGTCGCAGGGTTGCTGGCAATAAGCACGCTCACACACGGAATGGCTGTTTGCACTTCGTGCCAAGGGTGTCCGTCTGCCCTACAGACAGAGACATGACTGGGTAAGGCTAAAGATCCGAGCATCAACGCATGAGGTGAGGTGACATGGACAAGAGCGCAGCAGGCATTCGCCACAAGTTCGGGCCAGGGCTCTGCACACACAGGGACCACGAACAACGCCGCGATGCCCGGAATACGCGAACAAGCAGCAAAGAAGGCTCAAATGAACATCTAGTGAATGACTGCATGCATCCAGGCCACAAAGCCCTGTGCTTCCAAAGACCCTGAGCCTCAATGACTCAAAGGCCTCGAGTCTTAAGCCTGATCATGCTTCGGAGCCTACATCCCAGAGAGTGTGGCCTCGGCTGCCCGCGCTTTGGGCTTCCGCTTCTTGCCAACGAGGAACTCAAACCCATCCTCAGCGGATTACTTCAGACTCCAGCAACAAGGAGTAACATGAGCTCCATCATTTTTGATAAGTTGACGCCTAGGCGTTCATCTTTAAAGCAACTTCACGGCTTCGTGGGTTGTGGAAGGCACGGAGCTCGAAGCCCGCTCGGCGCGACAGAAGACCATACTCATGCTGCAGCAGAGCATCATGTATGAGCGAACATGCGGCTGGAGGAATATGACACTGAAACGATTGCACAACGATAAATGATGCTGGCCAAATTCGTGCAGCATCTTCACGCAGGACATCGGTACGAAAATGCCTCAATAGCCAGCAAGAGGACGCATACTACCATAGAAACATATGTTTCACGGCGAGCAGCAATCTAGCACCCTTAAAAATGAAGCAGTAAGCCCGCTGGTGAGGAGAGTGGCAAATCGGGGACGCGACGAAGAATTTGAGCCCAACAGGAATTAGATGAATTAGAGGCAAAGCCTCACACTCCACAAGGATGTCTTGACCCTCCATGGCAGACCCCATCAAAGATCCATGGAAGACAACAAGCGTCCCATCGAAGACATTTCTGCAACTCCACCCGTGAACCCCATGAACCGCTAAGTACAGTGCATCGGGGTCATCAGCTGTCTTCTCGCTAATGGGCCTCGGAGCATGTGCAGAGGCTGCTTCTTATCTGAATTCCTTGTGTGGTACCTTTGGAGGTTCGATCCTAGCGGTCCTAGTCAGTCACACTTGGTTAACTTATGCCGTGGGACCTGGTTGCGCTTCCATGTCAGATCAACGGCATGCTGTGTCAGAGTGCAACTTAGAATCAGTCCGTTCTCAAGGATCGTGTAGCTGGAAGGGCCAACGATGCAAGCACCCAACATTTGATGGGGCCATTGGCTCAAAGATCATTGCCATGCGTCCCCTCTCTTGGCAAACGTCATGGCAGTGCTTCTTCGTACAGGGGTACTGCTCGGATGCGAGAAAGCATGCTGCTAGGTATCGCAAAGCTGAAAGTACCGGAATTGATCATACGAGTATAGCGCGGTCGGCATCTTTCCTGCTCAACCCAATTCCTGTCTGATTCTCACGCGTAGTTTATGGTGGTCGCAGTAGTAGTAGCAGGAGACGCCGAAGTGATAGCTGTCGTCGTCGTCTTGTTGTTGTTCTTGCTGTTGTTGCTGCTGTTGCTGTTGCTCTTGCTGTTGTTGTTTTCCTTCTGACTGCTCGGACTTGTGTGCTTCTCCGTTCCACCGCTACTGTTCCTTGCTGGGGACAAGACATCATCCCGGACTCTGGCTCGCCCGTCGTCTCGGGCAAAGCAGGCTTCACCTGGGCCAAGATGGAACAAACGGTGCTTGGTGCAGTTCGGGGTTCAGGGCTTCGGATTAAAATTTTTCGCTTGGGTTGAAGCTTAGTTTGATGGCTCCAGACCCGACCTCCATCCAAACCTGCGTCGTTCACCCGACCGCGACGCCTAAACGGTACGGTACATCCGCTTGAACACGACGAGAGCCTCAACGACCCTGCACCTCTGACCTACAAAGCTTTCTGAGAGGCAGACTGACACTGTCAGCTCTGCCGGTTGCGGCGAGGGCGGCGGAGTGCCCTGGAGCCGTGCTCGGTGAACGGGTGGCTTCGGAGACGCAAGCCTTCATGATGGTGATGGCAATCACCATCGACGTCATCGTCGTCATGAACATCAGCACCATCACCTTGCCCATCCGTATCCTCAGCATCTAGATCAAGAGCAGCATCAGCTCAGGACCATCCTCGTTTATGTTTGCGTGCATACAAGAGCATGTAGCACAGGTACTTATACATGCCCGCACCATGATTGAAATATTATTGAATAGACACATAGGTCGATCAACAGATAAATATAGATGCAGACGAAATGCACAAACACATGTACACCCACGTAAGCATCCTTCACCATTTGCTTCTACCTCTTCTTCTACATCGATGTCCTTCACTGCCACCGCCAACACTAACCTCCTGTCGCAGTCGTCATCCTCATCTTCATCAGCCTCCTTATGCCCAAAGTAATGCGGTAACAGCATCCTCGTCCGCTTTCCCTGGCCTCAGGCGGTATGTCGGCCCAGGCCTCTTGAGGCTGTCGGAGCTTCAACGGGCGGGGGCTTGGCAGTCAGGCGGGTCTAGAATAAACAGCACAGCTGATGACACGAATGCTCACGCGACTTCTTTCTGCAATGATTGTATCAGCTCTGTTCATAAGAGTCATAAGATCCGATCAGCTATGGATCACAACTGTCAGAATAGAAACATTCGCAGTGGAACTGTTGCGTACTGTAGATTTAGTGAATTGGAGGTGGCGAGCTTTAGCAGATCAAAAAAAAACTGATCTTTTGGTATTCGTGCACGGTGCGGCGGCAGCGGGGGGTTGACCGGGCTCAAATCCACTCGGCAGCCAGTGCATTGTTCGTAAGATGTGATTCTGGAATGCTCCGTTTGGGGAAGCAGTTCGCACTGTGGAGGCTACTCCAATCACGAACCCACACAACCCCGCAAGGCTGCATGGTCCGACCTGAGCATCGCATCTATTCTGAAACATCCCTGCTATCTCAAGAGTACCAGGGAACCCGAAATCTTCAACGCAGACCTCAAACCGTCACGTCCTGTCTGCTGAACCATGCGAACCGAAAACCCTTCAACACATGCAGGTAAAGAGCTTCTAAGCTCTACGCTCTACAACCGAAGCAGCAATCCATAGCCATCCTTTACGTCGCTGGGGACGTCACCTTCCCGCCGCGCTTCTTCGGCGCGGCCTTTCTGCCGAACCGCCAAGCTACAAGATGGCAACGACGCTAGGACAAAGAAGACGACAGAGATGATGATGTCGATGCTTCGGCGAGGAACAGATGGCGATGGCCATGACGATGACGGTGTTCATGATGATGATGATGATGATGACCTGATCGTGGTCCTTAGTTGCTGGCTCGATTCTTGCTGTTGCTTTGCAGACAGTGCATCAGTCGCTGAAGTAATGATAATCGGGGCCAACATGCCTTCCACCCGATGCTACCACTGTCGTTTGTCTCGCTCATGACTGTCTTAAAACGGTGACGATGATGACGGCGACCCAACATAATGATCACCACATGTCACCACCCACGGAATGGTACTGGCGACAGCGAACCTGCTAGCTCTAGCTCCGACCCGAAGACCCTCCGCTCCCACAGAAACGCACTAGAACCCCAACTTCTTGGCCCCGAGTTCAAAGCCTTCTCGGTCTTTTCGGCCTTCTCGGGCTTGACTGGCACATCTTTCACCTGGAGGTGTGGATCGCTTAACCATTGAGGGTATCATTTCTGAAGCAAGGCGATGCGGAATCCAGGAGTCCAAGAGGAAGCGTGTCTTCACCCGTTGCGCCCTCCGAAGCTCTGGAGCAAAGCTACTCGAGCGGTGGTCCCTGCCTTCTCCTCGAAGGTCTCCGCCACTTTGGGCGCCGGTGCGGGGGCCCGTGGAGGAGTCTTCTGGCCGGGGCTCAAAACAGGGGGCCAGGGCATTCCGGTATTCACCGGGTCTTGTTGCAGGATGTTTCTGGGGGCCGGGGGCATGGGCGGTGATGACGTCTAAGGGCGGACAAGCATCTTGGCAGTCGCTGAATCCAAAATCGCCAACCCCACAGCAGGAAATGTTCAGGACTTGGGAAACGCCTCGGCTTTCGCCGCCGGAGGCTCTCGGGGCTCCCTGTGCTCCCTGGGCTCCCTGTCTGCCTTGCAAGACATCGGGCAAAAAGCGAGAGACACTGCACGGCCCACGAAAGATGCTTCACTTGAAGGCAGACCGCGTGCTCCGGAGCCGGGTTGAGAACACGTGCGCTGAAATGAATGCATGGAAATTACTCATTTGAGCTTCTCTAACAGAGCTGCGGGACGGTGAGGCTCTTGCCTTTGCAGACCGGTTCGCACTGGACTTCACCTCGGCCTTGGTCGAATACTAAGGAAGGAGAACTCCTTTTTCAGGATTCGGGTTCTTCCGATGACTTACCCGTGATCGTCTAACGCAAATATAATATAGGCAGGTCACAGCCTTTTCTGGCAACTGCAAGTGGTCCAACAACTCATATCAGATTGCCAAGGGCTGCTTGGGAACAGAGCAAACCATGAAACCCGAAAGGCCGAACCCCTCAACAATTCCACTTGGCCCTTTCGTTCGCTAACTAGCCTCATAGACTGCGGGACGTGGCCTTTGGAGGGCTTGAGGCTTAAGTTTGCGGGCGCTGTCCCGCAAGGCCACACCTGGGGCTGCTGCCGCTCTGCTCTTGCGGTCAGCCTGGCAGTCGTGATATTGGTACCCGTAAGAGCAGAGAGGATAATTAACGGTGATAGCGATTGCAACAGACATCGTAGCAGCGTGTTGCTTAATATGTGTTGCTGACATTGGCTCCTCCTGTCCTGGCCAGTCACAGATTCAGCTCAAGCCATGAAAAAGTAAAGCAAAGGCTTCTCTGGAAATTGAAACATCAACCCTTTGTTCCGAGAGCCCCTCTGTCGACCTTCCGGGTTGGCTTTGCAACGGTCCAGCCGTCCTCCTCAGGCGGTGTGATGCTGAGAACGGATGTGGATCAGGTGTAGTTACGGGCTGTGTGAGAGCAGACGCAGACGTTCCTGCATTGCAGCACATGACAATAAGTAGCAAGACGAATGTCGTATCCTCTGTGTGTGTGAGAGAACAACCGTCATCGTCACCACCATCAGCATCATCGGCATGAGATACTCGACGGGCTGCTGGCGGAAGTGATACTGATCTTAACTTTGATGTTGGTACTTCTGATGGACTGCTGCTGTTGATGATGATGGTGAGCGGGATAATCGCACTGGGGATGCAGACGTGGGAGACTATAACGATCATGATGAGGATGAGGAAAGATTCTCTAGCGGGGAGACAAACAAGGGTGCTAAAGGTCAGGATGACCATCATCGGTGGGAGCAGCAGCATCGGCCACGGTTTGTTTTGGATGTCTGCAGCAACAGGCTGCCGTGTCGATACTCATGGCCATCGCCACTTGCCAATGTCAATGGTCGTCATCAATACGATGGTGAACATCGTTGTCATAAATGTCATCGTTGAGGCCGCTATCACCACTCGTCATCATAGTTGCCGAAAACCACAAAAACCGTCATCATCAACATGACAGTTACCATCATCCCATTACTGCGGAAATCATGGCATTGCCATCGCTATCATTTTAGCAGTGTCATGATGATCGGTATGATCTACACTATCACCATTATCCAAATCATCGTCATGATGGTAATCAACGCCTCAGCCTCACCTTCATCGTGACTGTCCTCATCCTTACCGGCATCATCTTCACGATCGCCATCAAGGTCGTTCATCTATTCGTTCGTTCGCTGGCTCGTTCGCTCCTGCACTCGTTCATGCATGCATGCATGCATTCCATCCCTCATTCACCAACTCATTCATTCAGTCATTCATTCGTTCATGCGTTGCGTTGTCCATGCATTCATTCGTTCAGTTACCGAGTTGTGCGTTGGCATGTCGCTAGATTACACTCCAGCACACCTTTGTACAGGGAGCGCACCCTGACCATGATGCTAATCGTCATCATCATCACCAATCATCATCAGCAGCATCATCTTCTTCATCATCATAGCCATCATCATCATACCATCATCATCACCGTCATCTCGTCATCGCCATCTATAGCCGTCATCACAAGCAGCAGCAGCAGCAGCAGCAGCAGCGGCAGCAGCGGCAGCAGCGGCAGCAGCGACCCGTACTATCAGCATCATCCGCAACGGCCTAAGACATCGCCATAGCCATCCTCATCTCATCTCCCCAAAAGACGTCGCCATCCTTATCATCACAGTCATCATGATGCAATCATCCTGGTCGAAGTTGTTAATGCCCCGACATACTCGCCAGATTGCAATTGACTACTCAGAACAATAAGCCGTTTACTAGTGTATCGGCGAGGTGGCGAGAACGACTGAATCCTCCGGCGCAAATCAATCTTCATGCGGCAACGTGACCTCATCCAGCTCCTCTGCGGCTGCGGATGGCTGTGGTCTCTCCTGGCCCCACAGGCACTATCCACATCAACATGAACAGTTCATCAGTGCTACTGCTACTGTTACAGCTTCTGACGCTGCTTCGACTCGACTGTTACTACTAGTGTATGTATTTACCAGCACCTGTCCTAACAGACAGGTGCAAGACCGGAAAGATGTAAAACCCCGCGACCCGCACTCCTACTCGTACTCCCAATCGCACTCCTGCTCCCACCCCCGCCCTCCTACTCGATCCTGGAATCCCACTCCTGCCCTCCTACCGGTTCTACCCTCCTTCCCGACTATACCCTCCTACCCTACCTTCTTACCATCCTACGCTCCTACTTCCTAAACTCCTACTCCTACTGCTGCCCCTACTGCTGCTGCTGCTACTGGCCCGTACAACCCCCCCAAAAAAAAAAAAATAACCCACCCACCCCTTACATTCGTGCAGCATGAACCCCCTACCCCGCTAGCGGCACTGTCTGAATCATTTCGGCTTTGAGAACATCGCTAGCCTTGCTCCGTGCTCCGAATGATTGCGCCACGCACATGATCAGAGTAATCTTGCAGTCATGACGAGGTTTGTTCTGATTGCTGTTCCTGCTGTTGATACGAGTCTTGCGTCTTAGCATAGGGCATAGGCGGCAAAGGAGCTGCGATGCGTGTCGTGATGCGTGTCGCTCTTGCGGTCGTAGCAATACACAGGTCGTAGCAATACACATCATACGGACATTCTTTTCAGTATCCATAACATGTGAAATGGCACTGGTAATGAACGCTAAAGATCGCTAAAGCATCCAGAAATCTCGTAATCGGACAGATCTCCATGATCATACAGGCCAAGATCTCTAGTGACTTGTCCATTCTCGCGACAGAGCCTCGATCACGGGCTCCTCCTGCCGTGGCTCCGCTTCTCCGGCCGGCTCTGGGATCTCCTGGGTGGCTTACCCTGAACCACCCAGCGAGGTACACCTCCTACTAATGCGCTCCTCGGCCGCCTCCACTTCGGGGTCCGCGTCTGCGAAATGGGCCTCTGGCACCTCCTCCTTTCGGCAACGGCTTTCAAAGGGGGGCTTCAGCGGATAAGAAAGGGCGGGAAAGGCCAAGGATCATGGAGGTGAGATGGTGGCGACTTCAAAGGCCGCAGTCCTCGCCGTCCTCCTCAAGTCGGATTTCTTCCTTCGCCACCTCCACGAAAAGCTCACCAAGCAGAGTGTAAACTGCAGATGCGATCTTCAGGAATCGTAAGAGGGAACTCTGTCTGTCGGGCATTCTGTAACTCTTATTGATGACTGCTAGATACTGTAGTCTCCACCACTCTACAACTCTCATCCAGAGATCTGACATGTCGGTTCCACTTCGATGTCCAAGTCGCTTTCTGACAGTGTGAAGGGAATGACAAAATCTCGGCCAGCCATATATTCTACAGTCGAAATTCCTCAACCCACCGAATACCCTCTACAAACGCTTGCTAAACTATTGCCAACAAAAGCAAGAGACCTTGGGCTCCACAGCCGGCACGCGGTGAGACGGCGCCGCCGCCGCCACCACCACCGCCGGCGGTCCCCCGGGCTGATCGGGGAAGGCCTCGCCAGAAGGGATCCCTTCAACGGCCACTTTAGTCAATCGTTTCGACTCGCAGAACTAATATTGAAGCAGCCAAGGAGGAGTGAATAGAGCGACCGCGGGGTGACATCCAGCATTAACCCAACACGCAGGACAAGTAACCCGATGTGAGGCATAAGAGACTGATGCTGGTCTTGTTGAAGCTGCTGCTGCCTCTGCTCCGTCTGACTACCACCAACAACACAACTGTTGCTGCAACGGCTACCAGGTGCTACCATGACGACAACTACCACTAGCAGTAGTAGCAGTACTAGCGGTGGTAGCAGTAGTACCAGTAGCACCAGCAGTAGCAGTACTAGCAGTTAGAAGCAGTGGTAGCAGTTGTAGCAGTGGCAGTAGGCGTAGTAGAGTAGCAGCAGTAGTAGTAGTAGTAGTAGTAGCAGTAGCAGTAGTAGCGGTAGTAGTAGTAGTAGTAGTAGTAGTAGTAGTAGTAGTAGTAGTAGTAGTAGTAGTAGTAGTAGTAGTACTAGTAGTAGTAGTAGTAGTAGTAGTAGTAGCAGGAGGAGTAGTAGTAGCAGGAGCAGTAGTAGCAGTAGGGGGAGCAGGAGTGGGAGGAGGAGTAGGAGTAGGAGGAGTAGGAGGAGTAGGAGGAGTAGGAGGAGTAGGAGGAGTAGGAGGAGTAGGAGGAGTAGGAGGAGTAGGAGGAGTAGGAGGGGTAGGAGGAGTAGGAGGAGTAGGAGGAGTAGGAGGAGTAGGAGGAGTAGGAGGAGTAGGAGGAGTAGGAGGAGTAGGAGGAGTAGGAGGAGTAGGAGTAGGAGGAGTAGGAGGAGTAGGAGGAGTAGGAGTAGGAGGAGTAGGAGGAGTAGGAGGAGTAGGAGGAGTATTAGGAGTAGTATTCGGAGTAGGAGGAATAGGAGTAGTAGGAGGAGTAGGAGGAGTAGGAGGAGTAGGAGGAGCAGGAGGAGCAGGAGGAGCAGGAGTACGAGGAGTAACCGGAGTAGGCGGAGTAGGAGGAGTCGGAGTAGGAGTAGGAGTGGGAGTGCGAGTACAAGGAGGAGGAGGAGGAGGAGTAGGAGAAGTAGGAGAAAAGGGAGAAGTTGGAGAAGTAGGACAGGCAGGAGAAATAGGACAAGTAGGAGAAGTAAGAGAAATTGAGAAGTAAGGGAAGTAGAAGAAGCAGGAGAAGCAGGAGAAGTAGGACAAGTAGGACAAGTAGGACAAGTAAGAGAAGCAGGAGAAGTAAGGGAAGTAGAAGAAGCAGGCGAAGCAGGAGAAGTAGGAAAAGAAGGAGAAGTAGGAGTAGTAGGAGTAGTAGGAGTAGGAGTAGTAGGAGTAGCGGTAGTAGGAGTAGTAGGACTGGTAGGAGTAGTAGTAGGAGTAGGAGGAGTAGGAGGAGTAGAAAGAGTAGGAGGAGTAGGAGGAGTAGGAGTAGGAGGAGTAGGAGGAGTAGGAGGAGTAGGAGTAGGAGGAGTAGGAGGAGTAGGAGGAGTAGGAGTAGGAGGAGTAGGAGGAGTAGGAGGAGTAGGAGAAGTAGGAGGAGTAGGAGGTGCAGGTGCAGGTGCAGGTGCAGGCGCAGGCGCAGGAGTAGGAGTAGGAGCAGGGGTAGGAGCAGGAGCAACAGTAGTAGTCGTCGTCGTCGCCGCAATAGTGATAGTAGTAGTAGTAGTAGTAGTAGTAGTAGTAGCAGCAGCGGCAGTAGTAGTAGTTGTTGTTGTTGTTTTTGTGATTGTTACAGTTATCATTATGATATTAGTTTTTAGGTAGCATCAACACAGTTAGCACCGGCATCAGTCGTCATAGTAGTTTGTAGTAGCAGCAGCCAAAGGCATAGTTGCTGTTGGTGGTGGCTAGAAACAATAAAAGCTTGGAATCAGCTGGCAAACGCTGAGCCCTTTCAACCAGCTCTGGATAGCCCATTCAACGTCTATCAGAAACAGCTGCAAAACATCTGAAAACCCCTTCGGCACTGATTTTAAAGTAAATGCCGCTGCCACTGCTGCTGCTGCTGCCATCTTTTGCTACCTCTACTACTGCTAAAGTTTCTACTGCAGCCCTTCTTCTGGCCAGTCCGTTACAGTGTCCGTGCGCAGCCTCTGGCCAGCTAACCTCGCCACGCCTCACCGGATTCTTGCAGGCGGGTTTCAATTTTTGGGGTTCACAGGTCAATTGACTCGGGCCGGGGTCCTTCAGATGCCCTCACTGGGCGATAGGAGGCGGATCAGCCCCAAATGGCATAAGAGCACTCGAGACTGCTAGTCTGTCACATGTCCTGCATGCTTCGACCCCAAGTTCGGGGCCAAATCCGCAAGTCGCGGATGTCTCCCTCGAAGTTCTCGTCCTCAGCTAGGGAAGGGCTAGTTGGGGGTCAATGAACCGTCCAGCGCAGGTTCCAAGTTCTGCGAGACGGGCAGCTTCTGTACTGCCAAGCTGTTGCGAAGCCTGAACACCCGGAAGTCACCTCACTGAACAATTCGATCCCAGACTTCCGACAGTAATCCCACTCTGCATTCCCGAACTCGACAGCCCCGTGGCCCAAATCTCCGAACCCACTTCCCAGCGTCTGCCACTTGGGTTCTGGCACCGGTCGAGTTGGACCCACCTTCCAAAACAAACGACGAGACTCAGCTGGTCAGAAGCTTCGGGTCTGCGGCTTGGGTGCTTGGCATGGTTGCGGTAAGGAGGAGTACTACCTATTAGTCTTACTGGTCTTACGAGTCGTAGAAGTGATCAGCTCCCCGAGCCCAAGCCCAAACAATGGCCAGCTGCACCTACGAGGAGCTTCCGCCGCTCCACCGACCGCGGAGCAAAGCCCTGAGGCTGAACGCCTGCCGGTGGGCTGTCTACGAATTTTGCAGCGACGTTGGGCTTTGGGTTCTTTGGGGGCTTTGGGCTTTGGGCGGCATCGAATCTACAAGAGTCTCGTGAGATCGTGTGGCAAAAACTTTCGAGAGACAGATTTTGGGCGGCAAGCTGTTCTGCTGAGCACCACCGAAGACCCCTCGCGCCTAGCTGATCTCCATCCCGCAGCATCCTGGAAACGACAGGTGTTCGAGGGAAGTTTCACTTCGAAAGAGAAGTTGTGCACTCCGGTGAGTTTAACATCTGACATACCGCTTCCTCAACGGCGGCACATGTTGGATTTAGGGCCGAAAACTGAGTTCGCCGTAGCTTGTGGAAAGGATGCTGACCGGCCTCATGTGCCCAGTCTCACTGATGCTGAGGAGGTAGGAGTTTGTCTCACCTGGGCAACCCGGCCTACTCCCAGTTCAACGTCCTTGAGCAATCATAACAACATCGTCGTCGTCGCTGTAGCAGTAGCAGTACTTGCGCTAGTAGTCGTCGTCGTCTTCGTCGTCGTCTTTGTCGTAGTCGTAGTCGTCGTCGTCGTCGGAGTCGAAGTCGCAGCAGCAGCAGCAGCAGCTGCAACAACAGCAACAGCAACAGCAACAACAACGACAACGACAACGAGAAGGCGTGTGGACAGCAGCGACAGCTCTCGGGCTGGCACCAAGCATGAGCGAACCCGGCATCAGCATCCTCCGAAGGCCAGGGGTCAGAGACACTTCGTGACGTGCGGTTTTAGGCTGTGGGCTGTTCCCGCCCCGGGGCGGGGCCATCCGGGAGCTCACGTCCTACGAGGGACCATCCGGGAGCTCAGGTCGTATTGACTCCCGGGTGAGCCATGGTGTAGGCTGGTATGGGCGGGGTTTTGCAAACCAATTCTGCAGAGTTTGAATGACTGAAACAGGTCCATAGATTATCCAATTAGGGGCAATCGGGATCTGGAAAAGCATACAAACACACTGTGAATGTTCATTCATGTGTACTCCGTCTCTCCATATCGAAAACAATTCTCGTTTCAACAGACAGGTCCTTATGTTTGGAGTGGTGAAAGGATGATTCTTGTAGTGCCAATGTAATGGCGGCGCTGTTCTCTTGAGGTACATCATGATCTAGATGTGTGTGTGTGTGTGCGTGTGTGTTTGCTTTGGTTGGGTAAAGCGAGTTTTGAGACATATAGCGCTTGCGCCCAAGTCTTGTCATCCCCAAAGACAATGCTTCGAACAGTTACAAGTCATGTCAGTTTTACGTAAAAGGACAGCGATCAAATCGTATGTCTAGATGCGGACTGATTGTTGGTATTGCGCATTTCAGGACCTTGTTCCTTCAGGACCGCACGTGTAACTCCACATTGCTCGCGACGCATTCGGAACTGCCGACTGTGCTGTTGAAAAACCTTCTGTGTCTGCTGCTCGGGTGCGCGCAAGCAACATGACACCTTAAAACCCATGAAACTTAGGTTCCTTAACCCCGACCTGGCCTGGACTATATGGTTTAGGGTTTAGTATAAAACAGACTTTTTCAAGGACGGAAATGGGAAGTCATACCAAGGAACTTGAAGTACATCTTCCAAACCTCTGAACCTACACCCCAAACACTGAGTAAGCCCCAGACCTTAACTCTTAAACCTGCAGTTTCCCAAGACCCAGCTCAATTATGAAGCTCTCTTCCCTGAACCCAATGGGCTCCAAAAAATGCTTGTAGCATAAGATTAACCTGTCGGCTAGGACTCCGGGTTTCATAGGGTTTAGGAACAACCTCGCCTTTTCAGTTACATGCCGAACCTGCCTCGCTGCAGACTAACGAGGCTCTCTGCGCTCTGAGTGAGTGAATATATTACGAACACCGCCATTGCCCAACTGCCTAACTGCTGTTACTAAGTACTGCTAACATCTACTCGCTACTACTATTGCCACTGCCACTGCCACTGCGACTGCTACCGCTACTGCTACTGCTACTGCACGTACTACCACTACTACTAGTACTCCTACTACCACTATCAACTACTGCTACTACTCACTACTACTACTACTACTACTACTACTACTACTACTACTACGACTACTACTACTACTACTACTGACTACTTCTTCTTCTACTACTACTATTGCTAGTAGTAGTACGTACTACTACTACTACTACTACGACGACGACGACTACTACCACTACCAATATTACTACTACCAAAAGTAATACGACTACTACTTCTGCTACTACTACTACTACTACTGCTAATACCACTTCGACGACTACTCCTACGATGACATTTACTCTTTACTACATAAGACTACTAAAGATCGTTATCAATACGCATAGTTTTGCGCCTCATGGCATGGCCGGCGGCAACGACCAATACTATGTTCAACTACGAATAAGGGTCCTTTTACCCTCACTGGAAGTAAGTACCACTACTGCTGCTGCTACTACTACTACTCCTGCTGCTGCTGCTACCACTTGACCGATTTCCGATACAACAGCTATCTCCGATTATTCCTAATAATAAAGCAAGTGTCGGTGTTGAGCCCTATGTCCATTTTGATACATCTCTGAAGTTTTTCTAATCCTTACCGCGCCACTGCTATTGCCACCACCACTTATTAATATCATGACTGCCACCCAATTCGATTCTGCTGATATTAATATTGCAACGACGACGACGACGACTACTACTACTACTACTACTACTACTACTACTACTACTAGTTCTAATACCAATACTACGACTATTACTGCTTCTGCCACTACACTGCTACTGCTACTACGAATATCAGGACTACTACTACTACTACTACTACTACTACTACTACTACTGCTACCGCTACCGCTACTGCTATGGTTACTGCTACTGCTACTGCTACTGCAAACAGTACTACTACCACCACGACGACTACCGCTACTACTGGAACTATTGCTACTACTACTACTACGAACTACTGCTGCTGCTAGTACTACTACAACTACGACTGCTGCTACTGCTACTAGGACGAATACTCTTGCCACTACTACAAAACTGTTCATTAAAGAAAACTACTGCAACAACACCGACACTAATATTATTAGCATTATGATGTAGCTATAGTTTTTTTGTCAAAATATCTGTAAGTTTCTGGGCAGGCTTCTGGGTGCAATTGCGGGAGCAGCAACAACAACAGCAACACAAAGAGCATGACATCCGGCAAATACAACACGTTAAGCAACATCAGCGTGCAACAACAACTAATGTGTATATACAGTAGAACACCAATCAATGACAGCCCAGCAAGCTTGTTTCGTTTGGCCCAATATTGCTTTCCGGGTGAGTGGGTTGTAGTTGTTTATGCTGCAGCAAGATGGTTCGACCGCCGGCCATGCTGGACCCGGCCATTAACATCAGTGTCGCTGTTCAAAACAGTTCTATGGAAACAAAACAAGAATCAAGTGCTGTTGTTGCAGCATGTTCAGCAACATTTGTGGCTTGCGAAACAAAGAATACAGAGCGAATCGCAAAACAACACATATTAACGCCGCCAAATTGGAAACAATCACGCCGCCACATTGGAGCTTCGAGATCTCATATGACATTGCTGAGTAGGTGTATTGTGTTTCCTGTGTTTTGTTATTTCCGTTTGGCAGATTGGTGGAAAATGTCATGGATTCTAAATTTTTTTGCCAAATTGATGAAGCTTTATTGTTGTTTCTTAACTTTTGTGGGACACTTATAAAAATTTTTCATCTTTCAATGCATTTTCATTTTTCCTTAGCAAACTTCTTAGCTTTTTCTTTTAGCAAGTTCATGAATATTTTCCTTTTTTCAGTGCCTTTTCCAATTTTTATTGACAACTTTCTCAATTTTTTTGTAAATTTATAAATATTTTTCAGTTTTCAATGCTTTTTTCCATCTTGTATTGACGAATTTCTTAACTTTTTTTTAGCAAAATGTATAAATATTTTTCATATTTCAATGATTTTTTGCATTTTTCTGCACAATTTTTGATATTTTTTCAGCAAATTTTATGATTTTTTTCATGTTTCAATGCATATTTTTCATTTTTTTTTCAAATTTTTTGATTTTTTCAGCAAATTTATGAATACTTTTCATGTTTCAATGTGTTTATTTTCATTTTTTTTGCAAAATCGGCTCCCGAATCGGGCCCGCATCCGGGAGGCAGCTCCCGGATCCAGGCCCGGATCCGGGAGGCAGCTCCCGGATCGGGCCTGGATCCGGGAGGCGGCTCCCGGATCGGGCCTGGATCCGGGAGGCGGCTCCCAAATCGGGCCTGGATCCGGGAGCTGCCTCCCGGATCGGGCCTGGATCCGGGAGCTGCCTCCCGGATGCGGGCCCGATTCGGGAGCCGATTTTGCAAAACAAATGAAAATAAACACATTGAAACATGAAAAATATTCATAAATTTGCTGAAAAAATCAAAAATTTTGCAAAAAAAATGAAAAATATGCATTGAAACATGAAAAAAATCATAAAATTTGCTGAAAAATATCAAAAATTGTGCAGAAAAATGCAAAAAAATCATTGAAATATGAAAAATATTTATACATTTTGCCAACAAAAGATGGAAAAAAACATTGAAAACTGAAAAATATTCATAAATTTGCACAAAAAAAATAAGAAAGTTGTCAATAAAAACTGGAAAAGGCACTGAAAAAAGGAAAATATTCATGAACTTGCTAAAAGAAAAAGCTAAGAAGTTTGCTAAGGAAAAATGAAAATGCATCGAAAGATGAAAAATCTTTTTCTGTGTCCCGCAAAAGTTAAGAAACAACAATAAAGCTTCATCAATTTGGCAAAAAAATTTAGAATCCATGACATTTTCCACCAATCTGCCAAACGGAAATAACAAAACACAGGAAACACAATACACCTACTCAGCAATGTCATATGAGATCTCGAAGCTCCAATGTGGCGGCGTGATTGTTTCCAATTTGGCATCTGTTTTTTGTCGGTCTTGTTTGTTGTTGTGAGTGATTCTTGTTGTTTCGTTGAGGTGTTAAACTACAACATCAAGCAAACGCAAACTTTTCATGTTTGGATCTGCTGTGTTCTATAATTCGACGCGGCGCTAATCTTTGGTGTTTGCTACTCGCTCTGTATTTTTTGCTTCGCAGTTCGCAAGTGCTGCTTGAAATGCTGCAACAACAGCACTTGATTCTTGTTTTGCTTTCATAGAACTGTTTTGAACAGCGGGACCAACGATAAATTTTGCTGCAACAGAATCTGAGCCTACCCATGCAGAGAACAAATTTGGACAAACGAACAAATTTGCTTGGATGTTCTTGATTGGTGTTCTCCTCACGCTGGAATTATTACTGTTCATACTAGTTGGTTGTTGCACGCTGATGTGACTAAAGATGTTGTTTTTGCCGGATGGCATGCTCTTCGTGTTGCTGTTGTTGCTCGAGCAATTACACACAGAAGTCTGCCAAGAACCGGACAGATATGCTATTATTAATAATGCTTGTAATAGTACTACTAAAAATTTTAGTCGCTGTAGCACTAGTACTTGTGAAAACAAAGACATAGCAACAGCAGTAGTAGTGCCAATAAGAATCGTCGTAGTGGTGGTAGTACTAGTGGTAGCAGTAGCAGTAATAGTAGTAGTAGCGGTAATGGCAATCATGATAATAGTGGTAGTAATAATAGCAGTCGCAGTAGTAATAGTAGCAGTGGCAGAATTAGCGGGGGTGGTGGTGGTAGTAGTAGTAGTAGTGGTGGTAGTAGTAATAATAGTAGTCGTCGTAGTAGTCGTAGAATGAGTGGTAGTGGTAGTAGTAGCAGCAGCTGCAGTAACAGTTGTAGGAGGTAGTCGTAGTAGTGGTAGTAGTAGAAGTAGCAGTAGTAGTGATATGTATACCAGTAGTACAAGTATCGGTACTAGCATGAGTAGTAATCATAAATGTATTGGCCAGCCTTGTAAAGGTAGAAGTAGTAGCAATACTGGTAGTAGTAGCAGTGGTAGTAGTAGTAGCATAGTGGTTCTCCTGGTAATTCGGGGTAGTCATCAGGATACTGATAGGTGTTGGTAGCAATAGCAGTAGCCTGGTAAGGATTGGAAAAAGCTCGTAGGTGTATCCAAATGGACATAGGGCTCAACACCAAGCCTTGTTGTCACAGGTATAATGGACCTAGTTTTTTGGACAGGACATCATACTCCCGGTGACTAGTTGTAGTAGTAGTAGTAGTAGTAGTAGTAGTAGCAGTAATAGTAGTAACAGTGCGTGTGAGATGAATAACGATAGTGGTACTAGTTTAGCAGTAGTAGTAACGGTAGTATAGCAGTAATAGTAAGAGCAGCTAGGTGGCTAGGCAGTTTCAACATCAGCCATATTCACGCACTCCGACCGCATGCAGCTTCATCAGTCTGCAGTGAAGCAAGCTTAGCATGTAGGTGAAACGGCGCGGCCGATCTTTTCGAAACTCCACAGCGGTTGTTACAAGGATTTAGGAGCTCACGGGGTTGAGGGCGTAGAGCTTCATAATTAAGCTCAGGTTTCGGAAGCAGAAGGGCAGGAACTAAGGTCTAGGGCTTACACAGGCTTTAGGGTGCGGAGCCAAGGAAATTTAGAAGTCTGGAAAGTGTACAATGTATCTCACCCGCTTTTTTTTGGTTTCCTTGGTATGACATATTATATAAGTCCTTGAAAAGGTCAGGGGTTTTAAGGTGGCATGGAGCAGCTTGTGCAGCACACACAGGAGGTTTATCAACAGGCTCAACAGGAGCACAGTCGGCAATTTCGAAATCCGCGCGAGCAATATGAAACTACGTAATGTACGCTCCTGAAGGAACAAGGTCCTGAAACGCGCAGTAACAGCCAAAAAACACTCCGAATCTAAACATACGGCTTGTTCCCTGTATCTTTCGTAAAACGGTTACCACTTGTAACTGTCAACGTCCTTGGGGATGACAAACCGTGGGCAGAAGCGCTATATGTCTCAACACTCGCTGCACCCAACTGAAGCAAAAGCACAAATCTAAAGCACTATGCACCTCAAGCGACTTGCATCGTCATGACATTGACACTGCAAAAATCATCCTCTCACCAATCAAAACATAAGGATCTGTTTGTTGGAACGAGAACGCTTTTGCAAATAGGGAGACATGGAGAACAATAAATGAACGTCATGGTCAAGAAATTTTCAACATGGAGAAACGGAGAAAGAATAAATGAACGCTATGGTCATGACAGTGGCACTACAAAACTCGTCCCCTCACCACTCAAAGCATAAGAACCCGTCTGATGGAACGAGAAAATTTTTCAATAAGCTGAGACGGAGAAAACATAAATGAACGTCGTGGTTATGACGTCGGCACTACAAAACTCATCCTCCCTCCACTCCAAACATAGGAACCTGTCTGTTGAAACCAGTTTTGTTTTCAAGATGGAAAGACGGAAAAAGCATAAGTGAGCGTCAGAGTTCGAGTTTCTGACAGCCAGTCACAATGTGTTTGTATACTTTTCCAAAAACAAATCCGAGATGACCTCCCCGGAACCATGTGTTACGGACTTAGAAACAAGAACCAAAACCGGGATGACCTCCCGGATCCATGTGTTAAACCGGGATGACCTCCCGGATCCATGTGTTACGGACCTTTGAAACAGTGAGCTCCCGGATGGACCGGGCCCAACCCGGGAACGTGCTATCAAGGGAACCGCACGTCACGAAGAGACACTAACCAATCTGGATCAGAAGATGCTATTTGCAGCCTTCCTCGTTCCTCTGCTCCGGGTTACGAGGTTTTTAGAACAAATCAACACTGCAGCAACACGGGAGGGCATCGGCAGGTTCACAATAAAACCATAAGCGCCTGTACTTTCGGTTTTGCTTGATCACTGCCACTGCCACTGCCACTACCAGTACGACTCTTCAAGGCAGCCATCCAATCTTAGTAGAAACCACGATGCAAACGAAGACCTAGTGGACTCCTGAGTGGATCGCGGCCACGACCTATTTCACCCTCAAGCAACACAATACGCCTCACCGCAGCACAACACGAAGGCAGCCATCGCCTCTTCTTGGAAGGGCCCCGGTACACCTCCACCAAAAGTGTCCTCACGTAGCATATGATATGAACGTCTGTACAAGTATCTGGGTGTTGCTATGAGGTGTCAGCAAGCACGCATCTTCTGAGATACGGTATTCAAGACGTCCGAGAAGTCGGCCCTCCGACCAAGAACATTCAGTTCTAGATTCTAGACGCTTTAGTTGCTGCAGTCGCCTGGGCAAGACCTTGCTGCTGAGACAAATAACATCTGAAGAGAACTGTCGGCCTTCATCAGATCGCAGAACGTTATAGCGTTGGCACATCATGCTTCCATTGCACGGGTCACCAGGTCTTGAAGCAACCATCGACGCGAAGCATAGACCAAGCAGCTGATTTCGTGAAACCAAGCAAAGATGCTTGCTAGCCAGTTTTCCAGAAAGAACAAGTGCCCTACGATTCGTCTCAACTCATGCAACAGTGTGAAGGGACAAAGGTGGTTCTCGTGTGGCTGCTCCAGCAAGCCTGAGAACATCCTTGTGAATGCAGCGATACTCTGACAGGAAGTGCCCGTGTTCTCAAACCCCGCTCCGTGAAGCCGGACGCCTAATCCAAAGACTCAGCTCGACAGTCCCAGGGCCGCCGCCTCCCCTTCTCCAAGTTGCCGATCACGATGTTGTCGACCTTGGCTTGCGGGTGAAATGCCACCACCCCAAGACCTGAAGGGCCCGAGGCCCCCAAGCTCCAAACACGCAGGAAGTAAACCCGACAATCCCAGTCCTCAACAGTGACTCTTTCACCCTGAAGAGTTCAGTATCAGTACCCTAAAAGGTGTCAAAGCATCCATTTCCACCCCCCCCCTTGCCCGGCGCAATGGGAAGGGCCCAAGTCCAAGGCCCCGGGACCATCCCCGAAGTCTAAGATGCGGCTCCTGGGGGTTGCGGTTGAGGCTTCAAGCGTTTTGATGCCGGGGGGGACAATGTACAAGGTTGCAGGCAGCCTGTCTCCATGAAGGCAGACTACCCCACCAGGGAAGATCGCGGTTTCTGTTGCTCCCATTAGCATTTAGAAAAGGCTACGGCCAGGGTTCTTTCGGCAAACCAACCCTGCCTCAGCTGGAAGGCATCCCACCTGGCTGTGAAGGCGATGCTAATGGCCTTAGTCCAAGCAAGAAGCGAAAGGGCGATGCGGCGGGAGAGAAAGGAGGGAGTGAGCGGGCGAGCGAGCAAGGGAGAGAAGGAGAGAGGAAAGAAGGGATGGAGGGGAGGGATGGGAGCGAGGGAGCGAGGGAGGGGAGGGGAGGGGAGGGGGGAGGGGAGGGAAGGGGAGGGAGCGAGGGAGCGAGGGAGCGAGGGAGGGAGGGAGGGAGGGATGAGACAGATGCAGCGAGGGAGATCCAACGGCTCACATGCCTGCCAAACCAAAGCCATTGCTCAGGGTCTAATGAAGGAGCCATCAACTCAAGCCAGGGAGTCTGAGATCTTGGCTCCGCCCAGCTGGTGCGTAAAGCAATGCGGATTTTCCTTGGAGCGTTGCTGGGCTTCGTGTCTTCGGGTGCAAAACCACCTTGTAGGGGTTGCTCAGTCATTCCCGCCTGGCAGCATGTCAAGCAGTTGACTAGCAATGGATGGTACGTGCACAGGGGTTGCGAGTAAACCACGCGACAGAAAAGAGCATGTCTCACTGGTCACAACGCGCTGAACGGCCTTCAGTTCGGGGGAGCCAGTACCGACGATATCAGTCGAGACTGCGGGCTTAGACGTCTGCTCGCTGAGAAGGACATCTGACGCCCCGAGTGCTGGTAAGTTGTAGTCCTGCTTAAGATTGGGCCTGCAGAACTAAGATATGGAAACACTGACCGTTCGAATAGTACTTGACTAGACAGCACTGTACTCAGATAGCAGTCCTTCTTGGGCCTAGATATGTGCAGATATCGTGGGATCATACCAGTGATACCATCCGACGGCACAGCTCCGCTATTCAGAATCGACATCAACGCGTGGATACACTCATGCAGTGCCGCAGAAAAGTGCGATGCAGTTGATTTTCGGACTTGCTCAGCTCTAAGGAGATTAACTACATGGCATATTTGCTCCTCTACATTCGCTGTTAGCAATAGCCACCTGTCTTGTCTGCCTTATTGTTGAGCACTCGTGCAAGGTAGTTCTATATCCGCAGCTACACCGCGGCGATCAAGTGATTCAAGCATTTCCAAGATTTGCTTGAACCACAGGCCTTCAAGCCAGCTGTCAAAAAGAAGACCCATGTGCGGCGCCCGAACGAAAGATGTATGTATGAATATATATGTATATATATATATATATATATACATATATATATATATACATACATACATATATATACATACATACATATATATATATATATATATATATATATATATATATATATTTATTTAAGTATTTATATACCTGCATGGGTGCGTGCATGCATGCATGTATGCTGCATGCACACAGATGCTCCATAGACGCATGCGCACATGCGCAAACCTTGGTAGGTGCTTCGCACGCACAGTTACATAATGCCAATTTCTTTCGACAGTAATTCACATGTGTTCAACTGTTGCTACAGATTGCTGTCCGTTTTCGTCGCGATACCGATTAGTACGCGCTACTACGCTGTGGCCTGCCACTTGCTTGCAACTGCGGTCGGTGCTCTAGAATTGGTAGAAAAATTAAACTGTCCTTTACATGTGCTGCTTTCTACGATACTCCTATCCGTTGCGGTCTGATGTGCAACGTAAGTCTCGATAACTAAATGCCGCGACCTATTCTTGTCGGGTATTGGTTGATGGCCGGCATCATTGCCCAGGGCATGCTCAAGAACAAGAACAAATTCTGTTTGCAAGTATGCAGTACTGCGTTCCTCGGCTCTGCTTCAGCCCTGGACTCTGATGTTGACGATGCGGTCACCGTCGAAAGCACAGCCCTCGAAGGTGAAAAGTGGCTCCACCTGTGCGGATGAGCTTGGTGCTTGCTGGTAGTGTTGTGCTATGATTGCTTCTACTTCGGGGATGGATGCGCGCAATTGCAGCATTCATGGTTCTTCTGGAATGAGGTTTACCGATGCACCAATCTCGTCGGCAAGGACAGAGAAACGGGAACCAGAGGCTGCTAGTGACTGCTAGTGCTCCTGCTTTAATTGCGTGAAAGGCCGACACTGTATCTCCGCTTGTCGAGTCCCAGGCCGTGCGCCCCTTGGCACCCAGCGAAGTTGAGTGGGCCTGCGCCCCTGAGGCAGAGTTGGCTCCAAGCTGGATTCAGGGACAGCTGCTGCTGCTGCTGCTGCTGCTGCTGCTGCTGCTGCTGCTAATGCTACTACGGCCACTGCCACTGCCACTACTGCTACTCTACTGCTGCCGCTCCTATCACAACTGTCACTGCTGCTACCATTGCTGCAACTCCGCTCCACGACCACTACTACCACTATAGCTATAACTACTATTGCCACTACGGCCACCACTCCACCACTACCATAGTACCACAAGTTCCTACACCACTATAGCTATGACCACTAATTACTACCACTACTATCACCACTGCTACCACCTCTACTACCACACCACCTCTACCACCACTTCCACTAGCCCTACCATCACCAGGCAACAGCAATGCTACGGGGACAATAAGAATAAGAAGAAAAGGCGACGACAACGACGACGACCACCACAACGCGAAGGGTGCGTTTTGTGTTTGTGTTTATGTGGGTGGGAATTTGCAAAAGCAAAACTCGTCCTTTTGCAGCATTTGCATCGCCGGCATGCTGTTTAGACATTGGTCGTAGTGCTTGAGTCATGGACATGGGGAAGTGTCGTACATACGGTGATTTGTCGGCTCTGCCTTGGTTGATGTGCGGCACTTTTTTCAAAGTTGTTCTGCAGCACCCCCCCCCCCCCCGCAACTAACTAGCGTGCTTGTTAAGTGTGATGTTCGGTGAACCCAGACAACCGGAAAAGCGAAGGCAGATGCGAAGGCCAGCAACAAGGCCCCAAAACTGTGGCCGCAAGACTCCAACTAAAGCCGTAAAACCCTGAAACAAAGACTCTAATCCCAAACCCAGCAACCCTAGTACTCCGACCCCAACATCTCAAACCCTACCCAAGACTCTAAACCTAAACGCCGAAAACCTGAAACCCCAAAAAGCTCTAAAATTTGAACCCAAAACCCAATAATCTAGAATCTAAAAGTCTGAAATCCTCAGAAATCAACACTCTGACCCCAACCCCCCCAAGGCTCTAAGCCCCAATCCTTTATCCAAGACTCTCAAGGCTGGGACCCGACTGCAAACCCTGAAAACCCTGATACCCTAACCTGAGCCGCTTATCCCGAGCACCTAGATCCCTAAAACTCTCACACAAGATTCTAACCATAAACCGAAAATCCTATAACTCCAGAGTCGAGGTTTCTCAGAAATCTGCCTCGACATTTTCGGCGGAGCAGGAAACACGACAAACACGACGCACAATCAGACGGGCATGCGCAGCATCCTTCACATAAATATACACACCCGAATAACAACAAGCCAATGGATTGAAAGCAAAACACAGAGACCACGACAGACACTCTGTAAACACTGAAAGTCCCAAAACAGCATTGTCCAACCCGCAAACAGATTGAGCTGTGGCAAGTCGCAGACCTGAATGCGACACACCCTGCATGGCGGCGCACACAACAGCTGCCAGCAACCACGCCAAGGACAACCACAGCCACCGCCACCGCTACAACACAAAGAAGTAGAAGAAGAAGAAGAAGAAACACCTAGCACCATGCTACGTCTGCAATGCGTGCTGGTCGCCAGATTTTGATTGCGGGCGTCGATCTGCATTTTGCGTCAGAGCTGACGTTCTGGGGGCCTCCGAGAAACAGACGATCCTGTCCTGGCTTTCGCTGCGCCATCAACAGATGTGTGGCCATGCACCGGCTGTAGAATCAGCACCATACATATCCCCCGTGAGCTTAAGCTACTTCTTCCGTGCTTTCGAGTCGGTACTGGTAACAAACCTATCCTACCTAGTTTACATAGCTGTGGCATGCTGTGGGACAAGACTAGACCGGCACAGCTCATTTCTTCCGCTTCTTGCTCTTCTTCTTGTCCTGCAGGGCATTCTACACTCTGTTTCCAAAACCGGCATTGGCCTTGCAGAGACAGCCACAGACGATGGCGGCACTGGCCTTCTTCTTGTCCTTCTTTTTCTTCTTCTTGTCCTTCTTGTCCTGACGAGAAGACTCGACAAAGATCACCCTCTGGAGTGTGGCAAGCAGCACACACGCACACATATGGCATGCATTGCAAACTACAACTACCCTTCATCCTTTTTGGAAGACTTTTTCCGCTTCCTTTTCTTGTGGCTCGAGCTGGAGCTTGACTCGGACCTTGGCCCAACAAAGAACCGCACAAAGCTCGGCCGTGCGCGCGGCGTACGGATGCTTCAGTAGGGCTGTCTTACTACAACGTCCACACACACAAGAACTAGAAGACTCCGGAGATTTCCGCCCTTCCCCGCCCCTCCGCCCGCTCGGCCAGCAGACTCGGCAGAGTCGTCCTCGGCACACGAGCGACGAGCACCGTAAACAGTACCTGCTGGTGATCTCACACCTTCGAGCCTTATCATATTCTCCCACTGTGCTTGTCATGGGCAGCCGTCAAGTTGCAGCAGTGTTGTGGAAATGAGTTCCTCCTGTGCAACTATTGATGTGGGTACTGGGAGTGCAGTGGTATTTGCACACTCCTACTGCAAATGCGAACGAGTATCGTCATCGGAATCATCCGAGTCCGAGCTGTCGTCGCCACCAGACTGGCCACATCGCATAGTCAGCACAACACAAACGCCGTTTTGAGCGCTGGTCAGACTTAGCTGTCAGCTGCCCTGAGGCGATCGAACATGCAACAGGCAGAGGAAGCCGAAGGTAAGCATGCTGAGAGAGATTCGTTCCTCAGCCTCAGCCTACAGTTGCCCACAGCAGCAATCGGTTCCACGCACTACCAGTCATCGACATGTCGATTCATTTAGCATGCCAGAGCTTCAAGGCACCCTCTTCCCGCCTCAGAGCTCGGGAGCTCATTGCCTTGGCATTCACATTCTGGATTGGGAGTCTGGGCGAAGACTGCACTCAAGATGTTGGACCGAGTCTGGAAAGCTGCGGCTTCAAGGATGCACTGCCTGGGGATCCGGCTTTCGACGTCATCGTCGTCCTCGTCAGCCTCAGCTACGAACTGCTCGTTCTTCTTGTCTTCCTGCGCGACATCGCAAGCATATTGCATGCAAACACACGTGCATTCATCGCCATGAACGACATGTGGCTTGTAAGCAATCACACCGGAACAGCGACTGAACAAAAGCATGAAACAGCAACAACCCAACAACTGAATCCAAGGCGATCCTTCTTCAGCGAGAACATGTTTCGGCATTGGAAGTACAAGTGGCCGACGGATCCACACCTGAAGAGTCTCGTCTCGGCAGTCTGCGCAGGTTACACCTTTGCGAAAGTTGCGTTTCAAGAAATGGCCTCTTGCAAGCCCCTGGTGCAATGGTAGAGGAGTGGCCTGGCACGATCTCAACTGCGGCCTATCTGCGTAGGCGATGCATGCTGGCTTTGCGCAAAAAACGACACAAGAACAAAAGAATTGCAGACCGACATGGTCCAATGCGACCCCTCCGCTAGCTCACCTTGAGCTGCTTGTGTGGTCTAGATGGACCGCACTCTAGCGCACTTCTAACCACCCGTTGCTTTGTGGCACTGCCGACGGTCTTTGAGGCAACACACTAGCAAACCAGCTCTCAACCTGCGTCAGATGGCGAGTTCCTCAAAGCTTCTGAGCCTATGTCACTCGCATATCAAAATCTGTTCCAACATGTTCAAATCTTACCAGCCGTGCTCGAGACACAAACCTGGCACAGCCGAAGAAAGAATTCCAAGTTCCCGCCTGTGAGCTGTGCCAGCCTGAAAAGTCCCTTTGCCGCTTTGTTGATCTCCCCGCCCTGCCAGCTGTACTTGCGTGGGGAGCCAGCCGTGGGAGCCAGCCGTGGTGACGGAGGGAGCGTGGATGGGAGGGAGAGTGACAGAAAGAGAGAGAGAGTCCGGAGCGAAGCGAGAAACCCGGAGTCTGATGTCCAGCTCGCTGCGGGGCTCACTCCATGATGTCCATTTTCAGCATCGAAATTTGAGAAAGATCATGTCCATATGCACAGCAGGGACCCGTCGCTCCGAGGCGACATGCGTTCCCTTCCCATCAGCCCTCCCTGCAGCGCCTCGCTCACCTGGTTCTGCACCTCGTCCTCGCCGGCGTAGGGGTCGTAGCCCACAGTCTGGCGGAATGTCGCTGTCCGTTCATGAGGGTTGAGAAGCTGTGGGGCTCGGGTAAGCTGAACAAGATTCCAGGACTTTCGGACGATGCACTCATCCACCCACCTTTTGCCAGACTTCCGTTGTCTTCAGCGAGTCTGACACGCTCAGGCCTTGGCTGGACCGACTGACGGAGCCACTTGCTGAACAGGCAGCCAAGTTGGTCCGTGGGGTCCGTGCCAGCAAGAGTCGTCCGCACACAAAAAGAAGTGGACATAAGTTTTCCCACTGATTTGGGGGGGTCACGTCAACAGCTGCTTGGAAACCCACCCACCGGCGAAGAAGAAACATCTATGTCCTTTTGTCGCTTCGGCGCTCTCAGGATAAAAAGACCTGACTCGAAGTAGTGTGCGGGGATCTCAGTTCTTGGGCACCTGCGGTTGTCTGCGGGCATGCCAATCCTTCCCGCCGTGGCCGGCATGGCGTTCACGGCTGGGGTTCAGAGGGGGTCGATAACCATCTGCTGGTGCGTTCTGGGGCAGTCTGCATCAAGGCGGTCTGCAAGCATGGCTGCTACACACTTCCGGATGTCCCGGAGAGTCAGCTAAGAAACTTGCAGCAACCGAAAGGAAGCACTTCATGCGAGACTCGGCTATTGTCGATACGAGTCTGATTGAGCTTGCTATTTCTGTTAAACCAGAGCACCTGTGTCCTCAGTGCACAGAGCCGAAACAGCATGGAGTGCCCGAAGGACAGAAACGAGCACGTTGTACCTCGAACCCGCACGGAAACTGAGATTTCATGGCTGCACTATGACTTCTTCAACGTCCACCTCTCACCTCTCCGGAGCCATCAAGAGCCAGAATTTGGACTATCAGCTTGGAGGCTGTCATCGAATCCCTAATCTCAAGACAATACAAGAAGTGATCACAAACCCGACTGCGAAGCTTAGCACTACGAAGCTCAGCAGAGGCCCGAAGAAACTACGGAAGCGGGGTGAGCGGCCTACTGAACGGATGGGAGCTGGCGGCTCCACCGAAGGTTCCTGCGCTGGGAGTTGCTTCCAAGAATCTGGCAAAGATACACACACACACATGCATGCATACACGCATACATACACAGATGCAGCACAGATGGATGGCTACAGAAGAAGACATGAAAACCCGCACTGATGCCTGAGCGAAGGAGGTGCTGGTCAATCATGCGGGAATCGTTGGCTGGTAATTGGCTGAAGCGATTAACGTACTGGCGACTTCATTGGTTTATAAGGCAGTTGACAAGTTGATATCCAATCAATGACGGAGCAGGTCGAAGGACTGACTAAATAGTTTGCAGGCGAGCTAGTCGCTGGCTCAAACGGGGCACTGGCTGAATAATTCGCGGGCGAGCCAGTAGCTAGCTAAAACTAACCACGGCATGACATATCATGACCCTCGATCAGCACCAGTGATATCATCACCATGGGGATCCCGATCATCACCATCACCATGACCACCAGCAGCAACAACAACCACAACGCGGCCACCACCAGGAGCAGCCGCGGCAGCAATGCATGCCATGTGTCGCGCATGGAATCACGAACTAGAAGATTTGTGTACCAAATGAAGTTGTGTTAGCTATATTATATGGTATGCGCATGGGCAAACAGTTGACACGCTGCACACATCTGTATGTCCATGAATGTGCCTGTGTATGTATGTATGCATGTATGTGTGTATGGTGTGGCATGGCATGTAATGTAATGTAATGTATGTATGTATGTATGTATGCCGGTATGTCCGTATGTCTGTATGTCAATACGTCTGTATGTTTGTATGACTGTATGTACGTATGTATGTCATTATGTAGTTATATGACTATGTAGATACGCAGATATGCATGTGCATGTACATATATATATATATATATATATATGGTACCCCCCCCCCCCCCCCCAAAGATCCACACTTTTTGGCTTTGTCTGGAGCTCTTCGTGTGCAATGCCTGCCTGTTTGTTCTTGCCTGCCTGTTTGTTCTTCATGTCGTTTGTATGTCTTCCCACGTGAACACCCCAACATTTAGCAGACACGCACACGCACACACAGACACAAGGTCCGTTAAATTTTGGCAATTCTGTGGACTGGATTGAAACTAGATTCAAGGATTGAATTTCAATCCGGGCCCGGATCCAAGATCCAAAATCCAAGATTCCCCCAGGACTCTGTGGGCGGAATCTTGGATCTTGGATCCGGGCCCGGATTGAAATTCAATCCTTCAATCCAGTTTCAATCCGAATCCAAGATTCTGCCCAAAGACTCCCGGGAGAATCTTGGATCCTGGATCCGGCTTCGGACTGAAATTCAATCCTTCAATCCAGTTTCAATCCTGCGTCGTTTGGTGCATGCCACACTGTGAGCCGATCCGCAGCGCCTGATACGTAAGCCTACGTGTGCAATACGTTGTATTTAACCAGTATATTACCCTTTAGAATACATTTCCACTCTCATAACCTTTATATCTTATAGAAATCCATCTGCAATATCCTGTCGACTACCTTATACAAGACCACCTATGTATGATACACCCCGCACGCCTTATATTACATATACCCTATAGGACACTCTATACAAGACACTATATAGAATATCTCATAGGATATCCTTTGGAATACCTCCTCTATGTACAAGTATCTGAAAAACTTTCATATGGAATACACTGATATAGACTACCCTCCTGCCTTATTGAACACCCTAGAGCCTCTAGGCTACCTTATGATATACTTTCAGTCATAGCCCGTATATCTATAGAATACCTAGAGTACCTTACAGAATAAGACATAGAGTACCTTACAAAATACTTCATGGAACACATGATACCGTGATACCCTCTATATATCGTGCGCTTCATGGAAGATCATCTGGAATACTCTATAGAAGACCTTATAGAATGCCCCTATGGCCCTATATATGACAGTCCTTGTATATAGTATATACTGCTCCCATATAATACTTGGTGGTTCAAAACCAAACTTTTCAAGTTTGGCCCCTTATAAGGTAGTCTTATTGCGAAAGTTTAAACTTTTTACCCCCCCCCCCATAGGTAATTGGGAAGTAAGAATACCTATAGATAACCTTTCAAACAAAGGATATATAGGAGGACAATCAGGACGAGCCCAAGATTTGAGAACCCCTCAAAAACAAGCAGCCTATTCGGTAAGGGATTTTTAGGAGTGATCCAGGAATCGAGAAGAATATTCTAGAAAATACCACAAACCTCAACGACTTTCGTACAGGTGACCCTGCACATTACGTTATAGAGTACGTTCTATAAGACAACTTTTACCTTTATGTTGATGCCTTGTACAACCCCTTATACAATGTGTTATAGAGTACCCCATAGAGCGCCCAAAACATACGTTACATACTATGCCCTTCATAGGCCTTACAGAATATCATCTGCAATCCCCTACGGACTAGCTTACAGAATACCCAGTGTCGATCACACCCTTTGAGTACCGCATAGGAAGTCCTAAAGAAACCCTATGGAATATTCTATAAAGTACCCGTAGGATGCACCATAGAATGCCTTGTAGAATACTTTTTAGATAACGGATTAATGAGGGGAAAATCAGGAGCAGAATGCTCTGCACTATACCTGCTATGTGCCCAATGAAGAATGCCTTACACGATACTCCTTCTTTACATCTTAAAGAATTTCATATAGATAACCCTAGACTATCCAAGCACTATATACCTTTTATGAACCTTGTTGAATACCCTATAGCCTATAGCCTATACAATACGTTACAGAATATTTTCTATAATACAATTTTTCGTTTATGCTTATGCCTTCTACCATCCTTTATACAACGCCTTAAGTTCCCACAATGCCGTATGGAGTTTCCTATGGAATACTTAAAAGAAATACGCCATACTATTCCCTTTATAGGCCTTATAGAATGCCTTTTCCCTCACGCATGGAGTCTCAGAGAACCACCGGACTTCATCCACATGCCACAATGACTGACATGGGTCTGTGGTGCGCGCCCTTAAAACTCACCGTCATCCTCATGACCGACATCACCATCTTCGTCTTCAACACCATCATAATCATCGTCTTCGCGGCATCGTCATCTCCGTCACGATCATTGTGCCATCGTTTGTCTCCATCCCCGATCACCCGATGTCAAGACACCACATTGTCGTTGTCTTTTTCGTTTCAGAAGTCGTCGTGCTTGATTGTATTCGTATATTCCTCCCTCTGTAAGTTTATGCTTTGTGTCCATCACCCGTGTACCATACGCCATACGCATAGAGAGACATACATGAGGGTTCAAACATATTGCATGTACATGGTATTGTAGGTGATGTGGGAACCGAGGGCTTTCAGGCCATGCTGTGGAATGGAAGGGCTCTTTCGGATTGTTTGAGTCCTATTTGAAGGGGTTCTTTCCGAATAACGCCAAAAAGCGCGGATCTTTGGAGGGGGGAAGCATATATATATATATATATATATATACATACATACATACATACATATATATATACACATTTATGTGTAATATGTATGTATATACATATATTATATATTTATGGGTACCCCCCTATATGGGGTCCCCTGGGTTTTGGCACACCTAAACCATTAAACCAATCCTTTCCCCCAATGGACCCAAACCAATAAACCATTAAACCAACCCTTTCCCCCAATGGACCCAAACCAATAAACCATTAAACCAATCCTTTGCCCCAATGGACCCAAACCAATAAACCATTAAACCATTAAACCAATCCTTTTGCCCCATACCACTAAACCATTAAACCATTAAACCAATCATTTCCCCCTATAGAGAGAGACACATCCCTGTATGGGCCGAAAGCATTGGTTTAATGGTTTAATCATTAGGTTTAGTGGTTTAGGTGCATTGGGGGAAAGGATTGGTTTAATGGTTTAATGGTTTAGTGGTTAAGTCGTATGGGATAAAGGGATTGGCTTAATGGTTTAATGGTTTAGTGGTATGGGGCAAAAGGATTGGTTCAATGGTTTAATGGTTGATTGGTTTGGGTCCATTGGGGGAAAGGGTTGGCTTAACGGTGTACTAATTTAATGGTTTGTTAATGGTTTAATGGTTTAGTTATAGGTCGAGGGCTGCCTACTACGCAGGTGTCCTGGTTATATCCGGGGACAGAGGTTATAACCAGGCCTGTGCCACCGCTACTTCATCAACACCTAAATCCAAACGTTCGAAAGTTTTGGTGTTTCAGGGTGAATGTAACCGCAATGAAATTGAACAAGGACTAGAAGAATAGAGGGTCCGAGGTAATTGGCATGTAGTCGGTTGTGGAGGCATGATGCAGTGCTTTGTAACAAACATAAAGCCGGGAACCATATGCGCATTCCCCAACTTTAGCGGAAAGGCTATATGGCGGACTTTACATAATGGTCTGTCCGTTCCAGTACATCGGTATGAGATCTATGTACATATTGAGAGAATAGACGCTAACATGTCACTCACCCAGGAATCAAAATGCGGAATATGAAGGGGCTCTTATCGGGATTACAGTAGGTCAGTAAGTGTTGTCAACATTGGAATATCACGGTACAGAAAGTTGAGATACGACTTATACGACGTCATTGTAGGGAGAGACAGTATTTCAAAGTTTACAGCGTGGTCAGGTTTCATCACTTCGTACATAGGCGAACTGGTTGCAACGTTATGTTCAATCATCGTTCCAAGGAAGCCGGATTTCGACGAGACAAAACTGATAAGAATATGTGTGGTGAGCGAAACAAAATTTGCAACTTGCAAACTGTTAGGTTTCCTCGCTCGGTACGTAGAAAATTCCTAGCAATGCTATTTCTAACTACATGGATGAACCTCTTTCGAGGAGTGATTCGGTGTGTGTTTACCACTTTTTCTAACACGAGGATCACGTTCGGGACTGGGAACAATGGCTTCTATTCGACCTTCAGTAAATATTCACAAGAACACAAACAGAACTCGGACAAGCTATATGTAGCCTTATGGTTTTCAGTCGGCTTTACGTGATGGTTAAGGTATGCTGATGCAAAAGCACAGGCTTCATCACTCAGCATACAGAAACAGTGCCAAGGCCAAGAAGCGACGCTTCATGTCGTCCCCCAGGAAAAACACTATACAACGTTTGCTAAGCTTGTAGTATGCAAGTTTGAATTTTGGCTTGGGGCAGCCGTCATACAGAATTCAGGAATGCACCACTCAAATATACCTACCGGATATACAAGTGTTTAAAAGCAATCACATAGGGGCACGGGGATATGTCATTGAAAGCTATCAGTTTGCCAAAACGTCATAGCAATGCGTCCAACAACAGAGACTTTGGTGGGATTGCGGCATTACAGTACAAAGATGGACAACTTTTTGTTCCAAAATCTAGTTCGCGATAAGGAATGACTGAACCAGACTAATGACTACAGCGCGCTTGTTGGAAAATCCTGAAATACAGCGGTTTAGATACAGTCACACAGAACTACGAAGATAAATCGACGGCTTCAAGGCCAATTTCAGCATATTGTAACAGGGTTTCGACGAGGGTGTCATGGAATTCTTAGCCTTGTGCGGGTTTCAGCATTCTGAAAGCATGGGTTGTTGCAACTTCCCGGGTTAATCTTCAAACCGGATATACTGTAGTCGATGACGTACACCTGATTATAACCTAGTCGGCTGGTTATAACCTGGTCTGGTGGTTATAACCTAGTCTGGTGGTTATAACCGAGTCAGATGGTATGGCGAAAAACGTAGGGGACCCCAAATAGGGGTGCGCCCATATTTATATACATATAAAAATATTAAAATCTATAAATATGTAAATATATATATATATAAATACATATAAATATATCTATATACGTATGTCTGTTTATGTCTGTATGTATGTACGTACGTATGTACGTGTGTATGTACTTACGTAAGTATGTATGTATGTGTTTTTTATAAACACATACATACATACATACATACATATGTATTCAGGCGTGCATGCGTGCGTTCGTGCGTGGGTGCCTGTGCTCGTGGTTGTGTGCATGCATGCGTGCATGCGTGCTTGCGCTCGTGCGCTCGTGCGTGGGAGGATGGGTAGGGAGTGTGGGGGAGTGTGGGGGGTGGTGGGTGCTTCTGCATGTCCACGTGCAGTTCAGAGCTGCAGAAAGTATGAATGCATGCTTGTACCATTTGCATATATACATATGTACACATATGTATGAAGGCATACATCTGTATATACATACAGTTACTTGGATGCATGCATGCATGCATGCATGCATGCATGCAGGTATCCTTTTTATTCGTATTTAAATTAAATCATGCATGTATACAACTTGTATGTATGTGTGTGTGTATGTATATATATATATATATATTATATATATATACATACATACACCACATGCGCCTATCCATGTCCACATCCATTTCTGTGTATGTGTCTGGTGCTGCTGCCATTCTTGGATATCGTTGTTGCGCTGCTCAACATCGGAAACCCGAGGGCGGAGGTGCCTGCTTCGCCCGTTTAGGCTTGAAATCGAAGCTGTGTATCTGCTTCTCCGAGTAATTTACGCGTGCCCACCTATCTAGCCAAGGTACCCCAGCGACCTTTCGTAGCAAGTCAGGCACTCCGACATCGTTCTCACAAGAAACATTAAATAACTGCAGCATGAGAGCGAGCTGCTGCACCTCGGCTACCGGCTGCTTCGCAGCAGCTGCAGGCGGGCCCTGAGAGTCTGCGGGGTGAAAGGCTTGTGTTATCAAATTTTGACTGGGATGTTGTCTGCACTTTCCCGGCTGAATGCTCGACGGAACCCAAGTTGAGTCAGTAAGAGGTTACCGACCGTGAACTAAACATCCACGTATGGTCTGCTTCAGCCCAAACAGCCCGGTGCTGCTGTAGTTGTAGTTGTAGTTATTGTAGTGGCGGTGGGTACTAGTACTAGTAGCAGCAAAGGAAAGTCATAATCAAAACATAACAGTAATAACAATAAAGATCGAAATACTAATCTTGGAATAATAGCAGCAGCAACAGCAGCACTAGTACTAGTACTAGTGGTAGCAGTAGCAGCAATACGAAGTAGTAGTAGTAGTAGTAGTAGTAGTAGTAGTAGTAGTACTACTACTACTACTACTACTACTACTACTAGCAGCAGGAGTAGTAGTAGTCGTCGTCGTTGTTGTTTGCAATAGTAGTAGTAGTAGTAGTAGTTGTTGTTGTTGTTGTTGTTGTTGTTAGTGCAGCAGTCGTCGCAGCAGTAGTAGTATTAGTAGCAGTAGCCGTCGTCGTAGTCACAGTCGTAGTAGAAGGATAGCAGCAGTCGTAGCAGCAGTCGTCGCAGTAGTAGTAGTAGTAGTAGTAGCAGTAGTAGTAGTAGTAGTAGTAGTAGTAGTAGTAGTAGTAGTAGAGTAGTCGTCGTCGTAGTAGTCGTAGTAGACGCAGCACAAGCAGAAGTAGCAATAATAATAGTAGTCGTTGTCGTAGTAGCGGTCGTAGTAGGAGCGTCGCAGCAGTAGTAGTAGGTAGTCGTCGTCGCAGCGGCGGGTGAGTGAGTGAGTGAGTGAGGGAGTGAGGCAGTGAGTGACTGTCGAGCTGGGGTGCTCTCCGGCCCACGCAAACGGTTCCGTCGCTTTCTTTGCCCCTCTGCATGCGTTATTGGGGCATTGGTACAGATTTCAATGCTCCGGGCCCCTCAATGTCGTAGTCGTAGTCCTGGTCGTAGCAGTCGTCGTCGTCGTCGAAGTAGTATACTAGTTGTCGTCGTAGCAACAGTAGCAGGAGCAGTCGCAGTGGCAGTGTCAGTTGCAGGAGCAGCAGCAGCAGCAGCAGGAGGAGGAGGAGGAGGAGGGGGAGGAGGAGGAGGAGGAGGAGTAGTAGTAGTAGTAGTAGTTTGTGTTGGTGTTGTTGTTGTGGTGGTGGTGGTAGCAGAAGCAGAAATAGCAGCACCATTAGCCGCAGACGCAGCAGCAGTAGCAGTGGCAGTTGCGCACAATGGATGCAGCAGTAATAGAGCAGTAGTAACAGCAGTAGTGCACACTAGTAGATGACATCTCTGTCTTCGTCGTCGTCCTCCTCCTCCTCCCCCTCCTCCCTCCTCCTCCTCATCGTCGTCATTCTCACCGTCGCCGGAGAAGTAGTTGCAACAGTGGCAGGAGGAGGAGGTGGAAACGAGGGGCAGGAGCAGGAGTAGGACTATGTCAAGACAGATCAGGAGCAAGTGCCGTAGGAGTAGGAGCGGCTGGAGAAGTGGCCATCCAACTGGTAGGTGCTAACCTGCCGTTCTCTTCGTCTCGGGAGTCCGCGTAAGGAGTAGTGATAATGCTGCTCGGTAGTACTGCGGTCGTCGTCTTTCTTGGGGTTGTTGTGCCGGCCTCGGCGGCGGCGGCAGTGTGGTGGCTGTACTGGTGGTCGTGGCGGTGGTGGTGGCGGTGGCGGCGGGAGGCGATGGCCATGGTCGCAGCGGTGGTGGAGGTGGCGCTGGCGGTCCTGGCAGTGGTGTCGGTGGTGGCGGTGGTGGTGGCGGTGGTGTGGCGGAGTCACATGTTTAATCATTCCCATAGCTGCTTGTCCTGGTGATTTCTATTCCTGCGCCCCTTAACGTCCATGGCCTGGGCGTCGGCGCTGTTGTCTCCCGAGCCTGCATGACGGCCAAAAGTCATGTGCGGTTGCACGGAACAAAGTATGAGCTTGAGAACCGTTCATATGTGTTGAGATGGCCCTTGCACCTCGACCTCGTACCCTAAGAAGGCGGTTGAAAACTTAGCAGTTAGCACTTAGGGCACCGAGGCCGCCTCACCGTCCCACCCTTAAACCACGCTCTGGGCCTTTCTTCGAGAGCTCGTCGTACCAGGGCACCACCACAGTGAGAACTGCCCACAAGCATCGGATGATGCACAGCAGTCACTAGGCATTCCGAAACTGATAGACAGGCACACAGGATGAGGGTCTTGCGTCCTGCCGGTTTGTGGTTTTTCTGGTCATGGCGTGAAGCTGTACCTCTGACCGAATCTCCCCGCGTGCTCCCATCGCCTATGCCGATGATGACGATAAGCGCCGCCTGTGGCTGCATGCGTGTCCATCCTTTAGTAAACTTGCGGAGGAGGGACTGGGACGAAAGCTAGAAGCGTCAACAACCGAGGCTTTTCCAGTGAAGGCAAGCATGCATACACGCCTACTGAACTCCAAATACAGAAACCCTAACTCTTGAACCCCTCGAATGAGCACCAATACCATCCCCCTCAATGTGGGTGACACCCACCGGGCCAAGCCATGCTCTGCTTGCGCTTCTTGTTCGTCGAGATGCAGCTGCTATTACATATGACTGTGTATTCGAGTACTAGTATAGTATGAAATTATGAAATGGTAGAAAAACAGTATATGGAAGAGGTTGGATCAGAGCTTCATGCACACACACACACACATATATATATATATATATACATATACAATAACATACCATAACTTACTCCCCCAATAGCCACAGAAATAAAAGGTTAAACTTTCAAACTACTGCTAAACTATAAGAACCCCAAAAGTTTAAACGTTTTGTATTGGAGAACTAAGATAAATACATGTTATATGTGCCTAGAAGCCAATGGCTTCAGGTCGGGCGCCCAACATAGAACAAGTACGCGACGCGTGAGCGGAGCCAGCAAGCCACATCGTGAACATCACTGGGGGCCTCTTGGATCCCAATCCGAGCCAACAAGCGCGGAAATAGTAAAAAACAGTATATGGAAGAGGTTGGATCAGAGCTTCATGCACACGTATATATATATATATATGTATATATATATGTACATATACACAAACATACCATAAATACATGTGTATATCATGCCTAGAAGCCAATGGCTTCAGGTCGGGCGCCCAACATAGAACAGCGGAAATGGTAGAAACACACTATATGGAAGAGGTTGGATCAGAGCTTCATGCACACGTATATTTATCTATATGTATACATGTGTATATCATGCTTAGAAGCCAATGGCTTCAGGTCGGGTGCCCAACATAGAACAAGTAGGCGACGCGTGAGCATCATGAGCTGCAAGCATCATAAGCATCGGAGCCAGTAAGCGCACATCGCGAACATCATTGGAGCCCAATCCGAGCCACAAGCCCGCATCACGAGCATCATTGGGAGCTTCTTGGGGCCAACAAACGCGCATCATGAGCATCATCGGGGAGCCGTTTTTCCACTCGGAAGCGGTCCGAAGCACCACATTCAAACACCCCAAAACGGACCCGGCAGGGCAACGCCGAAAACCAGCACCAGGTGGGGGATAGCCCCGAATACGCGCAAAAAATGCCCACCTGGCCCGGGGGCCCTTCCCCACACCCCTAGATGCAACCTTTCGGTTGGTAAGGAACTCAGCTAGCCACGGAGGCTAGCTTTCGTGATTGTCAATTCGCCAAACGACGGCTCCATGCCTGGAAAAGTAGAGGCCTACGTCCAACGTTCTCGGAACTTGCCGCACCAGCCCCTGAATGCCTACGCGCCGGTCTCAAAACTCTTCGATTCCTGAGAGGCACCTGTGCTCGAACATCGATCGGAGCGTCACGTTGGATCTCTGCCCAAATGTCCGTCAGCCTGGATCCATGCTGGAGGCTTCGGGTTTAAGACTAGTGCTGTTGCAGTGGACCTGGCACCGAAGAGCTTTGCCGTCTTTCCCCAAGCAGCTCCCTTGGGTTGGCCAGAACCGCGGGGATCCTAAACCCACCCCGTGGCCTTGCGGCCAGCGCCTCCAGCAGCACCATGATGCCAAAAGTCTCGATTCGTGCCGTAAAGGCCTATAGATTGGGTTGGATGAAGTCTTCGGTCGTAGTTCTGGCCTGGTCTTGGTCTTCCGCTGGGCCTGCTGTGCTCTTGGTGCAGCGCGCTGCGCCAGGCTTGTGCCCTTGCTTGCAGTGCTTTCTCACTGGCGGTAGCCGGCAGGCCCACTGCAAAATCATGATATTGCTTGTACTGTGGTGAAAACAGCCCTGCGCTCCAGGTCTAGAATCCATAAACAAGTCCTTGCCAGTGCCTGCAACATGTCTTGGTCTGTTGGGATTACTCAGGGCAGGAGCCTGCGATCTTAGGGTTCTTGAAGCTTCGCTTGTCGCCCTTGCGAGGGTCAAGAAAAGTCTTGTCGCCCCATACCATTTGCTGAGAGCACACAGCGAGCACGCAGCGAACCGGAACATCAGCCACGGCACGTCATGGTACGAATGCCTATACATTTCGGCTTGTCCGTCATTTTGACATCTTGCAGATGCCAGACGGAGATGTGCCTTTGCATCAGTACTACAGACATGAATCGTAAACCTGATGCTTTCAAGACAACCGTACACCTCTGCAGGCATGCTTTTTCTGCAGAAACCGATCTCGCAGAGGAAGTCCCTCGACCCTCCAGGGCCACATTGGGCAGATGCCTGGAGGCCTGAGAAATGCTTGCCTCATCTTGCCTCCAGCACTTGACGAATCGCTTGCACCGTCACCTGAAGCGTTCGGATGCATTTCGAAGAAAGGCTGGCGGTTCGGACCCAAAATAGCATTACCGTAGGTACATCCATAGGGAGCAAGCGTGCCTCTGCCCATCCTGGGATGCCGGGCCTTGGCTCAGGTAGCCGGCAGTAGAGACACGAAAAGGCTGCTCTGCGGCGTCAGCGGCCCCATGCGGCGCCAGCACTGAGATCCGCACTTTTCTGGGCAAAGGATCTGATCGAAGCCAGCTTCCTGAACCCGGGCACTGCACCTACGGACCTACTGGCTGCCATCTCGCCAGGAAAATTCAACTTTGTCTGCTTGACAGCTGGAGCCCCATCTCCTGAATTCACAGCCTATGCGATCCAAACCCTGTAGCGACATCAGCTTACTATGTTTCCGACTGCGGCGACGCAATTAAGCTATGCCACAAATTGGTGTTTGCTGTGTCTATATTTACATCACCGTACTCAAGCAGCTTCAGTCATAAAGACATTGTTCTAGTCCGATTGTTCCCATCTATACAGCTTCCTGCTATGTCATTCTGAGAGTGCCATGCCAAGAAGAGCTGCTGACTGCAAACAGCGGATGAATGTGAGCCTCGGCAGCATCTCGCGAGGTGCCACCTCGTCAAGTTCAATTTTCAAGCTTGGCAGTGGGCGTGAGAGGATGGCAAAAACTTCTGAACCGTAGCACAACATAGCATGGCTGGCATAGCACAGAGCAAAACAGCGTGCAGGAGCATGATGAAGGCTGATGAGGTGGCATTGCACACCCAGGGGAACACGGTACAACAGCCCAGCGTCGTACAGCTCGAAATGATTCAGTGTGCCATGTGCCATCTAAGTTCAACTCCACAAGACGCACGGTAAGGTTTGAATCTGCATCGAAAGATACCGTGGATGAACATTCGTCACGGTCTTGGTGTTTCAGGGTCGAGAATATCTTCGTAGAAGGTGGCTAGGATTCTGTGTATAGGGAAACGACAAGGAAAACTTCGAGCCTCTGAAGGTCAGGCTTCGCACAAGCGTCTGACAGGATAGGCATGAAAACTACGATGCAGTGACATGATACGCTTCCACATCAACGATTTGCTTGTGCATCTTCTTCCGGAGCCTGCGTATGATCAGGCTGTCAACAAGAAGCAAAAGTAGGTGGACAGTGGTCATCACGATCGGATTCTCGATGGTGGTTTCTTGCTGTGAGATTGCGTGTCTCGCCAAAGATCTGTACCGTCAAAATGCTGATCTCTGCCATTAGCAGCGGAGCACCGAGCTGGGGGATGGCAGAATGCAGTCGCAACTCGATAGGAGGGAACCCACAGCAATACTCAATAGCACGACAAGATAAAACACAACAGCACAAGCAGCTGAAACATGACGCAGGCAGAGAAGTCACAACATAACAAAACTGTGATGCAACAGCGAGTCGTGCACAAGTCAAGAATGCAGCAGTAACAAGGCAGAGGATTCCGTACAGACCGAATTCGAGCACTTCGCTCTTTACAAACTAGGTTAGTGCCGCTGCAAGACTGGTAAACACATATTCCTTGGAAAGCGTAGTCCACTCAAACCGGGCCAAAGCCGCTGGAAAGACGGACGAGTTCTACCCAGAAATTCCGAGCGGAACGTCGCGGGCGAAGGTTTCTACAAGCACGCCCTTGGCTCCGGCTCCAACAAGTCTGCACTGCTCCGCTCTGGATTACAGACTTCTGTCCTGATCATGCTGTACCACGCTAGTACCATCGCAGCGTTCTTACCTGATCCTACTGTTTGTTCATTACCACAATGTGTACTACATGGCATGCGAACTCGCTCCAGTGCATTGCCATAAATGACACCTGTCGACTGCCGTCCTTTACTTGGCATCGCGCTGTTAAAGATCCATGGCATTGATGGTGCATTGGTTTATATTGCTTTACATCCAAAACCATCAAGGTACATCGATCTCCACAACGCATCCGTATGCTACATGATGCCTCTTGTTGTACCACGCTAAGGATACTGCCTCAGTTTACAGTAACCCGTATTGTCAAAGTCTCGCATTGCGTTCGCTGCCCATGGCCCCGTGGCCCCATGGCCTATGCATGCCGCAATTGGCCGCTTCTCGGTGGCCTTCACGCGCCCGAATCAATCAGACAAACCAAGCAGAAGATGCATAAAGGAGCCAAATACCATCTGCAAAAGCTCGCTCGAATGGGCTTGTTTTGGGAGCCCCTCAAGTTCCAAGAGACCCTCTTCTTAGGAGATGTTCCCATGATGCGCCTTGATTATAAGCCTCACCTAGTGTTACGCTATCCCATCCTGCGATACCCTGAAACTGCCCGTCAGTCCGGAGCTCCACAGCCTCGGGCCAGAACCCGAACCTTCCGAAGCCCAGTGCACTCCTGCGCCCAAGCGCGCACTGCGCTGGGGCTGCCGAATGTGGCCACCGCGCTTTGCTCCATCAGTGCCTTAGTGCTTTAAGTCACGGCTGCTGGTTGGTCTCAGACTCTCGACTGAACTCCGGGCACAGAGTTGCAACGTTTATACTCAAGCACATCAAGCTCGAGCACATCAAGAGCCGCTTCTGGTGACTGAAGGACTGCACAGCAAGATGCTGTGGAGGGTTACGTTCATGTCAGTCAACAAGCGGGAACATGTATATATCTGTGTGCACATATACATATAAGCCTGTGTATCAACATCTCTGAAAGACATCTCTGGGTCTTGTGCTTTCATATGTACGTAAATGGTACAGATGTATGCATACACATACGTGCGAGGACATCTGCATCTGCCTCTGCATACACATATAAACTCTAAAACACCTATACTTGCAAGCAAAAATATAAATGTGTAAATAAATGAATATGTACATACAAATATACATATACATATATGTATATGTATATATATATATATATGGTGCCCCCCCCCCCCATGGATCCACCGTTTGTTGGCTTCATGTACGCGCCGTCGACAACGTCGTTACACAGTTGTTCTTCAAGGGCCCAGGGCAAAGGTTTGGGGGTTTAGGGAGCCTAACTGAAAAACCTAACTGACAAAACCTAACTGACAAAACCTAATTGAAAAAACCTACAAAACCTAACTGAAAAAACCTAACTGAAAAAACCTAACTGAAAAAACTTAAAAAACCTAAAAAACCTAAATCTCGAGAGTCTTGTCATGGATATCTCTCTGAAGGACTTCCCGAGTTTAGGTGTTTTAGGTTTTTTAGGTTTTTTCAGTTATGTTTTTTCAGTTAAGTTTTTTCAGTTAGGTTTTTCCGTTCGGCTCCGGGCACACTGTCTGAAGCTGTTTGAAGCCAAGTGCTCAGTTTACACATTCTGCGTTCTGTATTTTCGATCGGGCCATATAGATGCGGTGTTTGAGCGCGCGTCGTCGCTTCCCGACGAGATGATCGCAGAGGTTTGAGACTTTACACATCGTGTCTGCGTTCAACTTGTTTACACGATGCTGATGCTCATAATGCTTCCTAAAAAGAGCACATATTCTAAAGTGAAGAACCTCAGAACCAAGCCGTGCCTACAGATCCTACAGAAAACGTAAGCTAGTCTGTAGGGGATTGCAGGTGATATTCTACAAGGCCTATAAAAGGCCTAGTATGTAACGTTGTTTTGGGCTCTCTATCGGGTACTCCATAACGCATTGTATAAGGGGTTGTACAAGGCATCAACATGAACGTAAAGATTATCTTATAGAACGTATTCTTTAACCTAATGTATAGGCTATACGGCTATAGGGTACTCAATAAGGTATATATGAGGTATATAGGGGGCATTCTATAACGTATTACCTAGGGTCACCTGCACGAAATTCTTGTGAGGTTTGTGGTATTCTTTAGGTTATTCTCTTCAACTCCTGGATCACTCCTAGAAATCCCTTACCCAATAGGCTGCTTCTTTATGAGGGGTTCTCAGATCTTGGGCTCGTTGAAAGGTTATCTATAGGTATTCTTACTTCCCAAATACCTATGGGGGTGTAAAAAGTTTAATTTTTCGCAATAAGATTACCTTATTAGGGGCCAAGAGTTGAAAAGTTTGGTTTTGAGCCACTAAGTGTTATATGGGTTCAGGGTATATATATATATATATATATATATACTGTATACAAGGACTGTCATGTATAGGGCCATATGGGCATTCTGTAAGGTCTTCTATAGAGTATTCCAGACGGTCTTCCATGAGGCGCACGACATATATAGGGTACTATGTGTTCCATAAAGTATTCTGTAGGGTACTCTATGTCGTATTCTGTAAGGTACTCTGGATATTCAAAAGATATACGGACTATGACTGAAAGTATATGATAAGGTATTCTAGAGGCTCTAGGGTATTGAATAATGCATGAGGGTATTCTATATCAGTGCATTCCATATGAAAGGTTTCAAGATACATAGAGAAAGTATTCTACAGGACATCCTATAAGATATTCTATATAGTGTCTTGTATAGAGTGTCCTATAGGGTATATGTAATATAATGCGTGCGGGGTGTATCATATATAGGTGGTCTTGTATACGGTATGCGACAGGATATTCAGATGGATTTCTACAAGATATGAAGGTTGTGAGAGTGGAATTTTGCAAAGTATTCCAAAATGTAATCTACAGGGTGCTTTATTGGTGAAATACAAAGTATTGAACCCTGAAAGGTTCGCTGGATTTCGTGTTCACGGACATTATCTATAATCTCGATGCATCTTATATATGGGATGTGTAGAAATAGGGCCCTCTTTCATATCTATACTTGCCGTGATACTAATTATGTTATATGGGATGATATATCTTTGCTCTCCTGTTGCGTGTTACCTTCAGAGCCCATATTGCTGCATGCAAAAACCTATACACACACACAGAACATGCATGCAAGCTTGCGTTCTTTTGCAACGAGAAGAAGCCGTACGCGAAATTATGTCGCTTGGAAAAACTCAGGGCGTATATGAAGGAAATGCGGAATGTAGGATTTGCGAAATCTTTGATTCAGTCGAAGCGTATTTAGTGAAGGACTTGTAAAGAGAATAAGGGAATGCGTTATAGAATATCAACTATTTCGCATCTGGCTCTCAAACACACGAAAAAGGTGGATCCTTGAGGGGGGGGGGGTAGCATATATATATATATATATATATATACATATATATATATATACTTAGGTACATAGATATAGGTACGTAGGTATATAGGCATATAGCTTGCACTGATTGTGTACAGTTTTGCAGATTTACATACTGTATATTTAGATTTGTATTTATATACGTACACCGGTGCATATATATATATATATAGAGAGAGAGACAGATATAGATGCTACCCCCCCTTAAGACCCGCAGAACTAGTATAATATCCTAATAATTCACTCCAGCATTAATTTGTTACAATACTAGTACAATTGCTATCAGGAATTACGCATAAGACGATATATATATATATATATAATAATCTAGCGAAATATTGCTTTGTTGTCTGCCCTGTTGTAAAAGCTCCAAGTCTTTTTGCATCCGTTCGCCTGAGTTGTGTAGGGGGAGTTAATAGGGAAGTAATGTAGTTAGCGCACTCTCCTCATAAAAGTTGTCTCCAAAGGCCGATCATTTTACAGAGAGCAAAATTGTCAAGTGAGACTGCAGCAAAACTGTCAGGTGAGACTTCGTCGGAAGGACTTGACCAAGCTCCGCGTGTCATCTTCTACTTTCTCTGCGAACTCGGCGTTTGCGTCACTGGAGCATGCACAGCTGTCACAAACTGTACATAAGCGAGACCAGTTGCCTGCTTGTCGCTCCATGTACACAGTATATACACTTTGGCATCCGAGCGCTTGGGTCATAAGGGTTAGTACCCATGCCATCGCAGTGCTCCTGTGCCGGCCGCGGACGCAGTAGACGCCCACATGCAGACTACTTGTACCCTCTGGGCGCGTCATAATCCACCATAGGAAGTCGCCTATCAGATCCTTGCACCGCACGTGACGATATGTCCTCTCGAGTATGTAATCATGGAATCCAGCGTGACCATTGAGACTTGGATCTCTATCTGGGTCGTTAATGTCGCAGCAATCCACCCTCTAGTTGTAGTTCTCACGCTCGCCTCTGCCACGGAATTGTTTGCCGTAGACACAGAAGATAATCGAAATATTCCACAAGAAACGATAGGGAGGCAGCGTAGATATTTCACTCAAAGTGGTAGTCCGTCTGGCAGACCGGCTACGTCTTCGACCATAGTAAATCATGGCTCCAAACCTAACAGCCTAAGAGCTTCCTTAGGACCAGGACAGCAACAAAGGAGACTTGCTACGTCTTCGGCCGTGGTCAATCATGACTCCAAACCTAACCGCTTTTACGAGAACTACTATAGCAAACAAGAAAACTCTTATAGTATAATAGACTTGTCTTTCATGTTCTTTCTCGGTGCTTGAACCGGACAAATGCGGTCGAGTCGCTGTGGGATAAAACTAATAATTATACACGCAATACGTCTTCATCCCACCCCACCCCCGCGCGCGCGCGCGATAACCCCTTACAGAACTATGCTGCATCATGAGCTTATACACAATACAATAGCACGCGTTGTTTTCATGTCCTTTCGCAGCAGAGGTCCCGCCGTCTCAACGAGACAATGCAAACATGTCTTCTTCGGTCAAGGCCGCGTCACGATTCCTTGTCAGCTTAAAGAGCACCTCGCCTATCCGCAGCACTGGCTGCCCTCAGTCTTATAGTCGTGTCAAATAAATATTATTTATGGTGACGAATCAAACAAAAAAGCGTGTATATATACTATTTGTATGCGAGCATCCATTAGGCAATCTGTCTTCGACAATTTCCCGGAAAACCGGTGCAGACGGAGCAGGCCCGAGAAGGACATCATCATCTTCGTCGATACCTGAGGTATAGTTCTCTTATTATGCTTACAAGAAAAGGAAAAAACGGAAATAACAAATTCTACCTCAGCAGCCCTCCATGAACTCGCCGATCACATAGGTGACGTCGAGCGGCACCACATGTCCCATAAGGGTATACCATGGCACCAAAGACATATCTTCGAAGGGATTGTTCGGGATGATGTTTTCGACGCAGAAAAGGCTGAGGGATATGTAACACAATAATTTTCAACGCGCGTTTGAAAAGTATTGCTACGCCGCAAGGTCGCTCAAACTGGCTTTTTTCATGCGCTGTGCAAAACTGCTTCCTCGGGGTCACACAAAACTTGCCACGACACAGCATTTCTACATGATCTGTACCATCAGCAGATGGAGACCACACGCATGGCCGCAAGATCTTTACATGAACAGTTTCATGTGGTCGGCACACAATTCACGGCACTTGAGCCACAAGTCTGTGTTGCGGTACCAATATTCATATTGCGCTGCTCTAAGCTTAGCCCGAAGCAAACGCGAACCAGCTTTGCTGTGCTGGTTGATCTGGATATGGTCTTTCAAAAACCGCCAACATCTGTCAATCACTTGAGTGCCCGATTTCACAGACAAAATCTTCTTGCTCTTCGGCAGGGTGTGCTTCACAATGGAAACGTACTTAGGATGCATCCAGGTGTACTTCCCGTTCTGCTTAACGCGCTTGCGGCAATGGACCACGCGATCATGAATGACTCCGGGTATGACGAGTTTGTATGAATTTGCTGAATCGGTTTGTAACACAACGTTACGATCTTTCAACAGCTTCGTGCCGATTTGTTTCCACTCTACACGACGGATAGCACCTGGGCCGGGGGCTCTCTTCACGGTGACCTTGGGAGTAAGTCTCTGCAAAACCAATGACTGTGGATGTCCTCTCTGAATACACCCAGCCCATTGCTCCCACATGATGGCAGTCTTCTTGTTCTTCATGAGATGTTTGAAGTCCAGCTCGTTGGAGATATCGCGCTTGTCGAAGGTCGCTTTGTCCTATGAATAACAAAACATTACAAAATGTTCCGGTGTTACAATAAAAAACACAGGGCTATTCTTTACGCATAGAAGTATCAAAGTCAGATCATAAGACTATTCCTTATAGAATCAAAAAATGTTGGGTATGCTACTAAGATAAGATGCAATGAATGTTAGGTCACGACCTTATCAAATTCCTACACGCAGTCGAACTCATCGTGAAAGATGGCAGTGGCCTTTGGGCTGGCAACTTCCAGGTTGGCATAGGACTTGTCGATGATGACACGGAGTTGGCCTTGCACGAACTTTGCGGCTGTCCATCTCTCTTTAAGGATGCCCTCGTTGTTGCCGACATCAGAAATGCCTTTTTCTTTTTAATGGGCTCGAGAGATACATCTCCGTCGTCGTACAGAGCAGGAGTAGACTTACCAAAGTGCAAGCCGCGGAAGAAATCAAAGTCTTCTGCTGTGCGAAAATTTCCGTCTCCTCCATGATATCTGCTAAACAACATGGCAGTGATCCGAGCCAAGGGGTTTTCCCAACCCCAGGCTCTCCCATTAGCCAGAGGCTGTGGTCCAGCAGGAAGCCAACTGCGTCTTGAAATATATTCTCCACAAAGGTCGGGTGAAGGTCCTGCACGGTAAGGTCGTATCTTGTGATGAGTTTCGCTAAACAGTTGTCATTTGTCAGCGGGTCCAATGCCTTCTGCACAAGCTTTTCAGACCAACCACGAATGGGGGAGCCGTCTCTGTTGATGTTCTTGTGAATCCATCGGAGCTGCTTCAACTGACTTCTGTCACGCTCTCCGTGTTCCAAGATAAAGTCCCATCCCGCATCTTGGTCATCTTCGGTAGAGGTTGCGCCCATAGCAGATGATGCTACAAGCCTTTTCTTCGACAGAGCGAGAACTGCCTGAATTGCAAACCGCCTGTTTGCTCCAACAAAAACTGCAAAGCTTTCCGTTCCACCACCTTGTTCCTTGACCCCAAGCAATTTCGTAGAGCTCGCCCATAGCACACGCTTCTATCTTAGCTTGCGGGAGTCTCTGCTTTGTCAAGTAGACATGCTTGATAATCGTGTAGTTGCCGTTGGACTGCTCCTGAATGAAGTATTGCGTCTTGTAGTCAAAACTGGGATTGCCCTTTAGCTTCATGATAGCAGGAAGATCACTCCAAGCTTTGTTTTTGAAGATGCCCTTGAGATTGTCGATGTCCAGATTGGTTTTTGTAACATCATGAGAAACATCAAGGAAGTGCGTCATGAGCTGGGTTGGCGATGAGAACCTCGGTATACAACGAAATCTATCGCTAATCTCATAACGAACCAAATACTATAAGATCTATATTTATGCTATGGTTTTAACTTACAACGAATGTCCTTGTCATGTACGAGCGGCTCGCGAATAGGAAGATTCACGACGTCGACAGCACCAAGTGGCATAGGGCCAACACACACATGCTCATGAAGCTCGCGGAGCACCATTTGCTCCGAGGCCTCTTTTGCCTGCGCGAAGTGAATGTTGTCCGCGTCCATGGCGGGAAAAGGACGATAGAAAGCTGAGTTTGATCTTTTCAGCGGCAACGTGAACAAGGTTTACATGAGTACTCGTGATGCTTGGACACGAGTGTGAACGCCTTCGCATATGGAACATATACTAAAATATAGTTTTTGATCATATGCTGCAGATTCGCAGATTCGCAGATTGTACAGACCCGAGGTTGTGGTGCATATACAATCTGCGAATCTGCGAATCCGCTGAAGTATCAGTCACAGCGAGGCATTTTGAGCATCAGATACTTACACGTCGCTTCGCGAATCCCTCAACTTGAGAAGCCCTGAAAGACCCTGAACGTTATTGCAGCTGCATCCATGCTCCGATGAAGTTGAGCAAGTCGAGATTACCTGACAGCGAAGCGTGGGTTTTGGGGGGGGTACCATATAGATGTATCAATATATAGTTATACCTATGCATAGATGTACAGACATATCGCTATGTAGGTATCTCGTTCTATAGATATACGTATGTGTGTGTGTACGTACCTATACATATATATATATATATATATACACGTATATTCGAGATGTAGCAAGTAGCAAGATGTACCGCACAGACATAATAAATCCCGAAAAGCAAACATGCACACATGCATGCATGTATGCACACATGCGGATGCTGCAGGACACAGTCACTGGACAAAACTTTGAGAAGAAAAAGATAGAACGAAACGAGATTAAACCAGCATGATGTGGCAGCTTGATGTGAGACCTCAGGCGGACAGCGTCATGACAAAGTCAGCATGCTGTAAAGTGCACAAAGTTGGTGAGTGCAGAAACCTTCGCCTATGCAAGGATACACAGAGGGAGTTGTGTGCAGGCATTGTTTTGAGAGCTCGCAGCATCTCGCGCCATGGCGGGCGCCAAATCGAAACATTTTTGGCCTGCCGGGGCTTTGCCCTCCGATCCCACACCATAGCCTTGCGGGCTCGTTATGAGAAGGCCCTGTTGCCTTCAGCAACACGACTTTCCCTGATATGCTAGCTGCGATGCTGCGGCCGTGCCAGCAGGGACTTCTGTGCAGAAAGCTGTCGTTCTGGCTTGAGGCTGAAAGTCTTTCGAAAAAACAGTCGACGTCGCACGAGCTTATTGCACAGATTATCTGACAAGCAAAACGTCGCAGAAGCTTGAGTCAAGACATTAACTTGAGAACATTCGCCTTGGCAAACGCCGAGGGTGGAGTGGAGCATCTGCCAACCTGCAGATCTTAGACATGGATCACGGATCACTTGAGAAAGCTGGTCAAAGCACAGGCTGTACCGAGAAGGTCAAAGCTCTTCATTTTCCAAGAACTACCCCTCAGCTCAAGTTCATGATAGAGCTTAGCCAGTCTTCGGGGCGCGTGATGTGGCGGTGGAGACGGTCTACATTCACGACTTGCCTGATGGATCGTGAAACACAAGCCCAAAATTTCTGAACTCCCTGACTGCATTGTCAGCCGTTGTATGCACGAAGTCGGGACGCGACATGTTTGCCACCATGTAGCCCTCCAAATCGATGCAAAGATTTACACGACTGGAGTTTCGAACAATAACAATAGCCGCATGCAGTGCCAACTCAACTAAAAAGAGCTGAACACCAGCCTTCCGGCCCTCGTCTCCTTCACACCAGCGGCGCATCACTCGCTGTGGTGCCGGATGAGGGGTATCTCAGTCAAAGCAATTGAGCGCATCTGGCAGACAGGGGGAAGAAGAGGGTGCAGGAGGGGTCATCAGAAGATAAGATATTGCTGGCAGAACCTGGCAACACCAGCCTTTATGAGGACACGGCCACATGAGTTTCCCTATACCCAGATTCAAGCAAAAGCGGCGAGACTCAAGACCCAAGAGACCCTCATCCCAGCAGCCTGGGCAGTGAGATCCTCCGTGGCCACCTGCACGGATGACCGCGCGTTTAGGTGCGGGGTCTCGCGGGTTGAAGCAAATCTTTGCAGTTCTTCGGTTCGACGGCTTTCCATGATTTTCAGGGGCGGCACACTCGGCCTCTCGGCGCTGTATTCTCGCAACGGCTCATGGTTCTTTCTGGGCCCAAAACGCGGCCTCCGAGGCCGTGGAGAGGGCTCGCTCGAGCAAGAGCGGTGGAGAGGGGCCGGAGGACGGCGGGGGCCGCATCCTGTTGCTTCAGCGACATGGACGCAACATTTCAACAAAGCAAGCGGTCAACGCAGCTGAGGATCACAACGACACATGTAGAAACAACTACAAGCCAAGCTCTGAAATCCAAAAACTCCAGACCTTTGCTTTCATCATAACGACTCGATACATCTCGAAATCCGCGCTTTCCCCTCTATCCATTTAGGCCAAGCCCAGTCACAGCTTTATCGCTCGCATAGCGTTCCGAAGAGTAGTGGCAGCCTGCCGCCCGGGCTTTATGGTAGTTTTCCTTGGGCCTGGGGTGCGGGCTGGGGGACGTTTTGTTCGCATCAGCGTCAAGTTGCTTTGATGAGCTTGGATGCAGCGAAGCTTTCACGCTACCCTTGACGCGAGACTGCTTCAGATTCGCTTGGCGCCTTCCACTTTCGGGAGCCCAGCATACAGCGCTCACGCAGGGCCAGGCGCTTCTTCCTGAAATGACAAGGCACGGGTCGCACTTCCGAAGATCTGCAAACTTCCCCCCACCTTATCAGGAAGAAACTCGGAGACGTGCTGAGACGACGGGCTTGCTTCGTTTTGCGGCTCGAGCTGCCAACGCCGGGAGAGCGCAAAACTGGGACTCGGGTTGGGCTTCGGCAGGTTCTGGCTCATATGTCTCCGTGCAGGAAACCCCTTCAGCCCCCACGCTCTCCAGGTCCAGGTCTCTCTTGCTTAAGCGTCGTGGCAGCATCCTTCAGCGCCTTCACGGCTGCATCAACCTTGAGAGAAGGCAAAACATGTCAGGAAAGATGAAGGCTCTGAGAAAGAAGTATGCTCTGCTTGCATTTTCCCCATGATAGCCCCCAAGTTGCAGATGCTCCCCATGCGGTTGTTTCTGACACTTGGGGGGCTCCCCGCCTCGCCCAGGAGATCGGCGGGCACTCGCGACCGCAGCTGCTCCAAAGTCAAGGCACAATCCTCCACCGCCTCCATGCCACGAGACGACTTGCGGAGTGACCACGACGATCAAGTGCTTGGCATATTGCACTTTCTAGTCTTAGTTACCCCAATGATCTCCAGCACTGTCAACGTGAGCTGCCACAATGTGTGAGTCGACAACCGTTGCCACTGAGCTCTTACCGTGTCCAGGCTGCGAGTCTCCGGAGAAGACATAAAGTAGACTCATCAGACCTAGAGAAGCACGGAAACTACCCGGCCTTCGGATCTGTTGCAGTTTCCGCCTTGGCAGAATCATCATCCACTGCCAGCTGCTGCTGGACCAGGTTGGCATACTTGCCACCCACCTCCGCCAATCTCCAACCGCTACAAGCGCTGGTATGCGGTCTCAAGTTCAAGTCTGACGCGCATTCGGAGCGGAGAGAGTAAATATACGATGCTTTTGTGAAGCCTTTCACACTCAGCTTGTGCGGTTGTGAGAGATGCTGTTCAGGACCCCAGAGCTAAACATCTCGCTCTACACTCTACACCTTCTGCAAGAGCTCTGCATGTGTACCCTGCTCTATGATCTTGCCGGATTCCATAACCTCAGCTGTCAGCACCAAGACATGTGCAGCAGACTCGATACACTCTCCAAGCTAAGGTTAAACAAAGAAAAAAGCAGCACAGCCTTGCACCAATGCAAGCCGAAGGGCCATGATCAGATTCGCATTCATGATCGTGGACAGCCGATGGGCGATGGCAATCACAGTCCGTCCCTTCATCAGCGACTCAAGCGCCTTCTGCACCTAGTGGACGGTCGGCAGTGCATGGGCATGTTTCTGAGAGGATCCCGAAACCGCATGTCAGCACAGAACACTGCCGCCTTCCGCTCCGAGACCGTATCTAGCGCCGAGGTGGCCTCATCCAGAAGCAGGATCCTCGAGTTGCTGAACAAAGGCCCCAAGTGCCGATCAAGAAGCAGTCTTGCAACTCTCAAAGATTGCTGGCGGAACCTGATCCTCGGAAGCCTCTAAACGCACGAAACGTGCGGACCGAATGCAAGGTTTACTTCAATAGGCCGTGGTGCTTGGGGTCTGTGAGCACGGCCCTTGCGATGGAGAGTCGCTGCTTCTGGCCTGAGCCCACTCCGGCCGGTTAGGTTAAGGACTCAAACGTTGAGCGATGAAAGTCGGACAGGTACAAGCATGTGAAGCCCGAAGGCCATCAAGCATGCTCCTGGAATCGTGTTCACGAACGCAGCTGCACATGTTCGCCACTTCTGTCTTATTCAACTGATACGATCTTCCGCTACCCTGCGACTCCAACATCAAGCACCAGAATCTGAAATTCCCCAAATGCAAAAAGTCGTGCAGTGTTAAGAATAAAAGCCTGACACCACTGTCACCAAACCCTCCTGAAAATAAACCCGCGAAACGCTCGTTGTAACTGACCCGGAAGCCTCCAGAGAGCTCGGAAGCAGGTGTGGCAACGCCCTGCGGCTTCTTCATGACGTCCTCGGGGGCATTCAGTTTTGGGCCTGGGTGCTTTCGGGGTTCGGCTCACATCCGAACTGTCGGCCCCGAGCTCCCTTGCACTCCCTGGATCATATCGGCAGCCAGGCATCGTCATAGAGGTCTGCCTCGCGCATTGCCCTCAGCACTTCCTCTTCTGAGGCATCCGGCACCCCGTAGCGAATGTTGTCCAGAACCTTGCATCACATCGGCAGCCAGTCCAAGTTTCGGGTCGGGTGAGTGCAGCTTCCTTAAGAAAACGGACATCAAAAATCGCACGGACGTTTAGGCGTCGAAGCTTGACTGTTCAAGCTTTGCTCATTTCCCGTCAAGAGGCGGAACCCTTGAAGACACATTGGTCTTGAGACACCCAGGCAACGGCCCGATAAAGTGCCTGTGGGTTCCAGTTGGCTAGGCTTATCCCGTCGATCTCGAGGGATCCACTTTGCGGGTCGTA